AAGGAAGGAAGGAAGGAAGGAAGGAAGGAAGGAAGGAAGGAAGGAAGGAAGGAAGGAAGGAAATAAAGATCTCATACAACTCCTTCTCTGATCTAAGGATTCCCTATATTATGGACTTCAAAACCAATACTTTTAACAGAGGTTTATTGCTTGGAATTCTCAAAGATGAAGATTACAAATCTAAGAAGTTTGCTTTAGATTTTGCCTTCAAACTTTAATTTTTAAAATTAACCATGTTAAAAGATGAGTTAAAAATAAGTCCTACTCAGAATGTTGGCTTGGGAAAAACTGTCTGAGTTAGCCAGGATCCAGCTTAGCCAATCATATTTGCATCAAACAGCCTTCCTTTTAACTACTAAGATTTTCAACAGAGCCTATTATGAACCAACACATTTTTCCTCCATTTTCCCCCACCAAAATTTATAGCACAGTACAAGGCAGTAAATAGGAATGTTCAAAATGCTGCAATGATTCCTTTTTTTTTACTATTTTGAATGAATATAGTATATTGATCTAATTCATCACTGTAGGTACTGCATCAAACTTCAAAAGTATGATATGTGGAGCCTTAGGAAGTGGTCCTGGAATTGCTTCAACTTCACATTTATTCTAGTTTTGTGCTATCTATGTGTTAGGCAGAATCACAAAAAAGACAATGGGTGACTGAATAAATTATAGGGAAAACAACGGGAAGTGGAGCAACTGGATAAAAAGTAAGTTTGATATTCCCCTTGTTTATTAATGCAAGAGATGGTAATATATCCATTCTAAGAACTAAGTATTGGTATATTACCATGTGTGCCTCCTTGAAGCTTTCACCTGAAATTTCAAATAAACAATGGGCACAATTTAATTTGTAATAGGGAAACATCTGCATGAGATTCTAATGTCTGCACACGAAAGTGCATCTAAGAAGGGTGAGATCCATGGGAAATGCCAATCTGGGAAAACATCACTTTAGCTAGCTCTTTTCTCTCAATAAATTTTGTATGCTCTGGAGTGGTATATCTACACTCTGAAGGTTTGGATGACCTGGGTGGAAAAGGAAAAATGGAAATGTAGTGGAACGAACAGCCAATTCTGTTTCCACAGTGACCAGTCCAATGCTTTTAGGAATGTTTTTTGAGTCTGGAAGGGAACTACAGACCCATTCTGAAAGCTTCCAATTATTGTAATGAAGTGACAACTCCATCTCTAACTTCAAGGTTCAAATTCATCATAGTCATTCTTTGTATAATTCGTGGTCATTTATTCTTTGTAGCTAAAATACAAAAATTGCCCAGAGATAAAAAAAATTCCAAAGGTTTCCCAAAAAGAAAAAGTAGAAAGAGAGAAACCTAATTGAACCAATTAATACTGAAGATGCTCTAACTGTTGATGGGGGCAAAAACTAATTGGAATATATTGAAAAAAAACCCACAGCTTTTATGACTGCTGTCATAAACAGGTACACTGTATATATAAACTGTCACCCATTAAATACAAGCCCTGGACAATTATCCTTTGTATTACGGCATGGAGTTTATATTCTGGTCAATAGGGGGCTTTATATTTTTATATCCACAGCTATATCAATGTCCCCCCAAAGCATACATTGTTTTTGTAGTTGAAAGCAACCCAATAGTTTAGCAGCATTCCTTCAGCATGTCCAAATGTAAATAATTTGGGAGACAACATGAAATTTACACTACGTAGAACAGAGCCAGTTGTTAAAGCCCCATTCTAGAAATTAGAGACCTATCAGTTTTACTTCTGCCTTAAGCACAAACTCAGGTGAGTTCCCTGGGGCTGGTCCCTCTCTCAGCCCTACAAAGAAAGCAGCGAGGAACTACTTGTAAAACCTTACTAATAAAACTGCAGGAACTAGTCTAGGCAGTCACCATGATTTAATTTTGGTGCCTTGAAGGCAGCAAAAACAACACAAAAACCTACTACATATTAATTCACTCAATCACTGTCAAAAGAAAACTGTACAATTTGGGCATCTTAAAAGCCAATTTACACCTGCTAAATGCAGTTATTATAAAGACTCCTCAGTACAGATAACACCATTGCTTGTTCTTTTGTGATACTATTTCTCATGAAAAAATGTTTTTAAATGATTGTGTGGGAGGAAATGAAAACTTGATGAGATAATAGTGATACCTTTGGGTATTTAATTCATGTCTATGTGAGAAAGAACACTGCTAATTGTGTTGCCATTTAGAAGGATGGCAAACTGAGATATTCAAGAACATATAAGATTAAAGTGGGCAAAAGCCAGTATGAACTTCATAACATGTTCAGAGATTCTTAAAAACGTGTTATAAAATTGAAAATACAGCAAACTAGTGGGAAAAGCATGAAGGAAGAGTAACTTGCTTATTGCTCTCAGTACTGTGTGGAATAAATTTGGCTTTCCATAGTGAAGTTCACACAAATGTGCCCTATGGAAAGAAATCTGTCATGCTTCTAAAATACCTTGTGACTTTGAGAAGTACATTTTAGTCACCTACTAGGTACTTACTTCTAAGCCATTTCACAAGTTACATATACAAATATACAAGCCATACAAGCTTTACCTTCCAGTACTAATGTCGATCATGGAAAATATATTCATGCTTTGCCTTTCTCTTGTGAATGGTAGTTATTTTCTGAGCTAGAAAAGTACAAGATCCAAAGGGTGTAAGGCAGAGAAACTGCAGAAGCGTTTGGACGGTTTCGTCACTTACCTACAGTAGAAACCACGGTGCCTACAAAAAAAAAAGCCCCTATCAAGTCCCACTGGGGCCGCGTTGTGTTGACCCGGACACCTATCAGGTAGGCGGACTCGTACTCAAACAGAAAATCCCTCAGCTCCGCCAAAGCCAGGTTGTACTTCTGGGAGAAGTTTTCAATCTTTATCTGCCACTTCTGAAGGGTTTCCAGCTCGGAGGGTCGCTCAATGACGGAGAAGATGGCAGCTCCGCAACCCATGTACAGAATAATCAGAACAGCCAGGAGCAGGAACCGGGCGGTGTCTTCGCTGAGGTTGCCAAAGGTGGGCGAAGAACAGGAGCAGAGACCGCGACAAGCCATCCCTTTCTGCCCGCCGGGTCCCCCCCGGAGGTCAGCCCGATTCCCAGCTCCCCTCAACGGCTCATTCTCCTCGCGCCCCCTCGAGGCAGACGGCAGCGGAGTCCGTGGCGGCGGGTAGGGTTCCGCAGCTCTGGAAGGGGGGCAGAACCAAGCCCGGGCGCCCTTCCAAGTACTTCCCCCGCTCAAGAAGGGGCAAGAGGGCAAAGCGCGGACCCCCAATGCCACACCCCTACGGCTAAATCCCACAGAGGATGGGCAGCCAGTTCCCACAGCGCGTCCCTTAGGATCGCGCGGAGCAGCTTTCTTCGTTGGATCGCCGAGCCGTCCCCCTGTCGACGAAACTCGGGCTCCTCGATGTTCTCCTAGGAAGCGCGCGGGACTGAATGAAGTCTGTCAGTCAGACCTCACCATTACCGGGCGCCGGGTCAGGGCCTCAACCCCACCCCCACATAACAGGTCGTTAAAAGCACCCAAAGCGCGCGCCCTTTGCCACGTGCGGTGCGACTCTTCTTCGCCAGGAAATCAATGTGGTCCGCAAGGGGTCGTTTCCCCCCCGCCCGGACTCTTTGGACAACCGCGCGTGAAAATCGAGACTGGGCAGGGCGTTAAAACGCCCCCAAATCTGTCGGAGAGTCAGAGCGCGGGTCTTTCGCTTCCTGCGTAGCGTGTGCCCGCACCTCCGCCTCTACGACCTGCTTCAAGGAAAGACGATGAGAGATTTGCGGCGAGCCTGGCTGTGGCGCTTGGCGGGAGAAGAGCTTCGGAAGCGCGGATTCGACTTTACTGCAATGTTGTGGTTGATCGGACTGTCGTTCCGGGGAAACTGGGCGAGAGAATCTGGAAGTGGGGCTGTATTTGTAGCGTTTAGGGCTACAACCACATGAAATGAATTCCCAAAGGTCCAGTTTAGGTAATAATCGTTCAGAAACGAACAATCCTGTTTGTGAAGAATACATAGTCCTCTAGTTACTGCTATAATTGAGCCCAAAATTTATGTTGCTAAGTGAAACATTTGTTAAGTGAGTTTGCCCCATTGTACGACTTTTCTTGCCACAGTTGTAAAGTGAATCATTGCATTTCAGTTAGTACCGTGGTTGTTAAGTGAATCTGGATTTGCCATTGATTTTGCTTGTCAGGTCTCAAAAGCAGATCACACATGACCCTAGGACATTACACCTGTCATAAATATGAACTAGTTGCCAAGCATCTGAATTTTGATCATGTGACCATGGGGATGCTGCAACGGTCCTGTGAAAAATGGTCATTAAGTCTCTTGTTTCAGTGCTGTTGTAACTAAATGAACTATTGAGGATTACCTGTCTCCAGAGGTGCTAGGCATGCTTTAAAATCTTAATCCTTTCTCTTTGCAAGGAACCAAAATTAAAAAAGGAAGTGTGCCAGGTGTCTGATGCTTCCTTGCTTTAGTCTTGAATTTTCTGGTTTAACTGAATTTAGAAGAGAGTGATCTGCAAGAAACAGATCAAGAAACATTTCATTTCCCATTTCCTTCAGACTAAAAAAAGCAGAGCAGCTACCTTGTTCCTTCTTCCACTCATCAAGGTCTCCTCCAGCTTCATCCAGCAATTTCCTTTCAGGGATACAGTAGTTCTGGTTGTCTTTTGGAAACTGGCCGACTTACGCTGATTGTTCTCACTAAATAATTCTAGCTTACCAACTTCTTTTGGGCTCTGAATGTTTCAGAATTAAGCCCAGCAAGCTTTTGACAGAGAGGATTGACTCCAATAGTAGATTAATGGATCCTGGTGTCAGTCTTCAAGATATACCAGACTAGGAAACCAAAGCACACATCCTCTTACCCGTACTACTTTTATTATAAGGTTGTATAGTAACAGAACCTTGCAATGAATGCACTTTCCCCTCTCCCTTTGTCTTCATGAGAACTAGAGAGGTTCTTGTCTGAGATCCTTACTCAGGGTACAATTCTGGTCTGGACTCACATTTCTTTTATCTTGTTGTTGCCTTGGTTGCAGCTCTTCCTCCTGTTTCTCAGATCATTCTATCCATTATACCTGGCAACCTGGGATTTAGAATACGTGTGTATAAAGTATGCTTCATACTATCAATTTCTTTTTTATGTTGATGACTGAAGAACAGAGATGAAAACAATCTCACTTCCATTCCTTTGCCATTTAAGTGTAGCACATTAGATTAAAAAGGGAGGATTGCTACACACCCAGAAGCATCTAAATAGCAGCTTTGGGTCCTCTTATTTTGACTCTGGGTGATTCTGATTTCTTTCTTTTGCTCAACTCTCTGGGCATTATGAGAGAAACAATTTACAAAATATCCAAACTCTCACTCTTGATTATTTGATCACCATCTCTTTTGCCATAGAGAAAGCAGACGAGAACTTGAAAACTTGCCACCTAATTCATGTCCTCCTCCTCTGGAATTATCAGGATTATCTTCAAGTAGTTACTCATGGCTATTACTCAAGCAAAAAGAATGGGAGTAGGAGGCTGTGACAATTGTTCCTTCTGCCTTCTTCATTGCTACCTCTGCCCTTGATGCAAGTACTCTGATGTCTCTGGGACTATTCAAAGTGAAAATTTAAATGAACAAGTAAAAGACTTGAGAGCCTGAAATCTTTGATAGCTTAGATTTCTGTGATTAGGGATCCAAACCCTATTCTCACCAACTCAGCTCCTGAAGACACAATACAGACGAGCAAGTAATAAGAGTGCTTCTTTAGAGATCAAACCTTTGTTAGGTGGCACATTAGCAGAATTAGATTAGAAATTCCTGTAAACTCTTAGAAGATACTTTTATAAATGGAAAAGAGGGGTTTAACAAAGTTTTTTTCTGTAATCCTTGGCAACTGTTGGGAAAGCTCAGATTAAATATAAGAATAGTGTGTAGAGAAGATGAGAACTGTCTTCATATAAAAACCTGTTAAACACCTTAGGTACATAAAGAGATCTGTTAGGAGGGATTTATTAGAACTAACAAAGTTATAATTTATTTAAATAAATTACTGCCTGAATAAAATTCAAGGAAAATAGCTGAAAAAATGCTTAATTTTCTATTGCTAGGCAATACTCGACACTATCGCAAATGATATTTTTATTTTCCATTAATATAAATTCTTAAAATAAAAAATGCTTTAACAATTGTAAAGATAGTAATGAGAAGAATAGTTTTCTGCATTAATGTAAATAGCAAAGTATTCAAATCTTGGGCTTTGATTAGAAGATCTATGCAGCGGGTATTTGCAATAAGTCAGGGTGTGGTCACAACGATGTGACTGAAGTCCTACCCATTTTTACATATCACAATGATCTGTACACTTAATGTTCAACTTTCCCCAGTATCAAATAGCTCAAACATTAATTACATACAAAAACAGGAAAAGCAGAAACAAAAAAGGAAAGTAATATACACATATAAAATACATTTATAATATTATAATCCCCAACTCATCTACAGTCTGTTATTTGCTACTTAAATGATTTTTTCTAAAATGTTTTCCCCCAAACATTAGTTCTTGAAATATAATGGGAGTATTTTATGGTTCTTTTTTTTCTGAGTACAGCACAGCATTTGTGCTCCATAAACTCTTATTCTAAATGATTTAACTACCTTAGTGTAAATTACACTAAACTTGAAGGTTTTCATATTTCAGATTTTTATGAATTCTAAGTTGTTATGGAAACAATTTTTTTTAAATGCCACATGTAGTATCTGAAGATTCACTGAATCTCCAAAATTTGTTTAATATTTACCATAAAGTTCAATGATATAAAAGCAAAATACTGCCATAAGTACTGTTCCCCCCCCCCTCAAAATTCTAATATAGTTGAATATCTTGAATCAATTATGTAATGTATTCATGAGTAATCCCAGTGACTTGAATATTTCTTGCTCTATTATTGGCTTGTCTAAGTAATTCACAAACACATTAATATTAAAATATACCAAATGCTCATTTTTCATTGCTAACAGCTGGATACTTTATTTCAATTTTTTATAAATTTTCTCTTTTATCACGTTGAAAATTTCACAAAACTCCCCAGAAAGATTAAAGTTATTTGGCTAAAAAAGACAACTATCTGACATGGCCATTTCTAAATTTTCTAATTTACAGGTGGACCTTGTTTAGCATTTGCCTCATTTAGTGACCAGACAGTTACGACAGTGACGAAAAATATTATGTAAGAATCCTCATATTTATGACTTGGCAGGGCTGTAAAGCAAATGAAAGATGAAGTAAGATCAAAAGAATATTAGCTATTTCATTTAGTGACTACTTCGCTTAATGACTGAGTTGCTAATCCCAATTATGGTCACTAAACAATGACTGTCTAAATACATGTAATTTCAAAAGTATGATTTATCACGAGATTTAGTACTGTTAATCTTCAAATCGGTTATTTTTTAAAAAAATGCTGTAATATTTATTTTATTTAAAAATTTTTTTCCAAGTATACAGATATATAATAAAATGTACAGATATAAAGCATAAAATCTTACAGGTATTCAAATGATTCCGAATAAAGATTCAGAATTACTTTAAACTATTCATTTCGGAACCCACATATTGCCATGTGTATCGGGAGCTTTGGTGTAAGGAATATTCCAAATCCATGGACGGTCTGCAAAGCAAATAAAAAGGACAGACTTATACCACAGACAAAGATGAACTGAGAAAAATTAAATTAGATTCCCCCTTCTTAAAGTTCTTTATATAAAAGCTAGCCATTTAAAATCTAGCCGTTTTCTAACCAACCAGTTAATCTTAAATAATTCAGTATTGCTACTTTGAAACTATAGAAATGTTTATGAATAAGTTTTACTTGAACTATAATTAGCTTTTAAACTTCTACTTCATTACACAAAATAAACTCTTTTAAACCATCTTTAAGTAGTAAGCTATGTTATATATAATAACCCTAAAAGTAATTACAGAATCAAGGGTTCTTTGGTTATATTTGGTCTTAAATAAGAGTTGCATACAAAAGTGGCATGAAATCTGGGTTTCTTCTGGACTCACAGCTCATATTCAGGTAGCAAGTGACAGCTGTGACCAAGAGGGCCTTTGCATAGGTACATCTAGCATTACAGTTGCATTCTTTTCTGGACTGGGAGGCCCTTCTAACAGTTACGCTTTAGTCACGTCACGAACAGATTAACAAATGTGCTCAACACAGGGCTGTCCTTAAAGATGACCGGGAGTCTATACTGGTTCAAAATGCAGAGTTACAGGCAATGATGGGCATGCTTCATTGGATTTATGTGACTCCATTAATTTGTGAGCAGCACTGGTTAGTGTTTGGCTTCTAGGTGCAATTTAGATATCGCCTATAAAAGACCTTCATGGCACTGATCCTGGTTATTTGAGGAACTTCCTCTATCTGGTTGTGTGTCTGCTGAGATCCGGTAGAGTGGGCACATTTCAGATCTTATTGGTTAAGCAGTAGGAGTCAGGAAATATGCCTTTTCAGCTGCAGCACCTGCCCTTTGGACCAATATTCTTCCAGAGATCCAAATGTCTCCTACCCTGATGATTTTCAGAAAGCTATAAATATATGGCCATTCTCCCACCTCTTGGGCAGGATAATGTTTTGAGCACCTGTTGGATGGTTTTGTTCATTTGCATGTTTGTGTTCAGGATGTGTTGAGATTGGAGGGGCTCTAAATTGTATTTAGGCTTATACACACACACACACACACAATCTCTCTCTCTCTCTCTCTCCCTCCCTCCCCCCCCCTCTCTCTATATATAAAAGATAAGTCTACTGTAGGATAAATTAATAATATGACCCTTCGACTACTGTGTGTGCTTATTTAGAAAACAAATATGATGCATAAGAGGAGGAATGTCTGTATTAAAGCCTTTGAAAATAATGTTCCATTTCCATTTATTAACATTTAAAGCTCATCAATTCTGTTACTCACAATGATATTTTAAAATCCCATTTAATTTGAAAGGAACTACAAAATAAGCCTATTGTTTGTTAGATACAGGAGAAGCTGCAGTTCAATAACAGGAACATATTTGTGCACTGAATGTAGTAATGGGATGCTGATTGTTGATTTGCAAGATTATAGTAAAGTGCAAGTGAAATGTGGTATGTTCAATAGCGGTATCATTACACAAATGAATAATAACAACTGATAATCTTAACACTTGAAGCAGTATTCTGTATTTATTCAAGCTGTATTCCAAAAAGCTTGTAACAACACTGGCAAAGGGGTAATGATGTGCAAAAGTTTCAGGATTCAGCTGGATTTGAAAACAGAACCTTATCACAATTGTAACTTAAGCAGCTGTCATATGGAGTTATCTCTTTTTCCAGTAATCTACAACTGCATGTTCTTTATTATTTTAAATGGTTGTACATTCATTCAAGTGGATTAATTTTACTTATATGCAGAAAAAATAATTATATAGAAGGAGAATGCTTTACCTTTGTTTTCATACTTTTCAGGGGGCAGATCATAAGGAACAGGAAATGACAATATTGATGTATTAGCAAACATGCTTTCCTTTACTTGGAAATATCCTGTATTCAAGCCCTAAAAAAAGAGTTTTGCATTCAACCAAAATTCAAAAACAAATACAGTAATATGGTGCTGTTAGTAATATGCTACCAATGTGTGTCTATTAGGTAGATTGTCTAAATAGCAACCATAATCAAATAATGTATAAACAATCTGCCACAATTAAAAGCAGATAATCTATTACTCAGTAATTATTTTCTTTAAACTAAGCAAGACTTCAAGAAACCAATTTAATTTTCTTAATTTGAAATGAAGACATTTCCTACATCATACTGTAGGTTAATTCCATTAAATAATGAATGTAGAGTGGTTTTCAAGACTAAAAATGATGTATTTTATATTCATGCTTAAAATACCATTAAGGAAACACAGAATTCTTGGATAATAAATATAATCTCAACAGAGATACAGTCGATACCCATGCTGGTCGTATGTAAAAAAGCTTTTAAAATCTAGATCTCCAAGGCTGGGATGATGGGTCCTGCATGTTTGACTACTTTTTACTGGTTGTTTTTCTTCCAGATTTGGGTTTTTAAAACACTATATTTTATGATTTTCTTTTAATACATATTACCCTAAGTGGTTGTCTTATGCTTTTCTAAATAAATAACCAAAAGAGAATACTTAATATCCAACATTTTACTCGTATATAGTACCATATGTGTTACACCCTACAAATAATAGAAGTACATATTAAGCAAAACTATTAAGCAAAAAAGCAGCTTTATATTTTATGCAGGAACTGAAAAGATTAAAGAAGCGATTGGCAACCTGCCTTGCTTAGGACATTTTAACACAGTTTGTAACATTCACTACCATTATAGCCTGTATCAAGGAATTCTGAGTATTATAACCAAAACCTTTGAAAAGCATCAAATTGTTGCTTGGGATTGTATAAACTTCCATAAGATAAATAAAAAGGTTTATTTCCATGATCACAATTAATGACATTTCCCAAGAGACAGTACAGTATTGGATAGTACTGCTACTGGACAAGAAGATGCAACTGGGTATATTTTCACATCTGGAGTATCCCAGGTTGTATAATCAATTTGCAAGCAGATTTTTGCAGCATGTCATTTTATTATTTTTGCTTCATCCACCTTTGTCTTCTCAAATAAAAGACTGAAAGGTTATGTCTGTAATGACACCACTGGACATTTGATTGCAGTCCTCAAAGCACCCACAATTTATTTTTAAGATTGAAGTGTAGTCACTGTCCAGAAAAAATATTATCCTTCTGAATAAAGGATGAAGAGTGATTAGATGACTGGGAGATATGAACAAATTGGTGATTCAGATAAGCCTCATTTTCTATTATTAAAGTATAATGTAGTTTTGCATAATACAGCCATTAAATGAGCCTACATAATATTGAGTAACTAATCATTTTCTTTGGAACTGAGCTACACATACTTTTCTTTTTACTTTCTTATGCAAATACATTTCTGACATTCTTGAGCAGTGGATTAAAAAAAGCAAATTGGCTCTGTTTGCATTCATTGCAGTGTAGGATTAAAATGAACTTACGAACTCTGAAGGCAGGAACAGAACTCCTAGTTCATATGATCGGATCATCAGCTGGGTGCCATTTTTCTCAAAAGCTCCCCAAGCAGCCTTGGAAAGATTGGCACTAAGCAGGCATAAACAAAAAAGAGAAGAAAAAAGTTCTGTTTATGCACAGAATGCAAGAATTTGGAGAGGGAAAAAATAGGAAAAAAAAACCATATACGTGGTCCTTGACTTAAGAATATTTGTTGCAAACGAAAGGACTCACAACCTGTGCCTGAAATTACAGCTGTTGTAACAGACATGTGATCAAAATTTGGGTGTTTGGCAGTCTACTTGCATTTACGATCATAAGGGTGCTTCAACTCCCTCTACCACAGTGGCATTCCTTGATGGAGGCAGTGCTGTGGTAGAACTAGAGGCCCAGGACCTTCAGCAGCTGCCACTTCTATTTCAGTCTCGGTGCAGCCTCTATGAGTAACCACATCATGGGCAGCCACCTCAGTGCAAATCAGCCCCTCTCCACTTTCTGCAGTCTGCTATGCCCAGCTGATCTTCACCATATTCCCCCCATTGCTGACAATTGCTGCACCCAGCTGCTGGCTGTTCCAGCTCTTCTTCCCAGGCCTCTTGCACTGTTCTCCAAACTGTGCCTGAAATTCTCTGTGCCAGATGCCAAGGAGAATTGTTGGGATTGTGGCTGCTGAGCAATGCACTCACATGACATCTTGCTTTATGACTGTATGGCTCTGTGATGAAAATTCCAGTCCCAATTATAAGCTGAAGACTACTTGTAAAAGACTTACCTTGTCACTAGAAACCATGCAATCTTCTGGAAATCCAGGGATACTCTCATGTAAGTTTTAATATGTGGCATTGCATGACTACGACCTGAAGTTTCAGCTGACCATTTGCTTGGGTTAAAACAAAAGAAAGGAGTTTTTCAGATTAAACCCAGTATAAGTTTTTAGATTCTAATTCCTAGGATGTCATATCCATAGCCAGAAGTATTTTATTCCTCCTTTTTTTAAACTGAATGTTACTTGAAATATTCTAGTTTGGTGACTTTAAGCTGGTTGATAGTTAATAGTTTCTACCCACCCCTACTAAAAAGGTTCATTCCTGATGGCAAGGGATAATGGGAAACATAACACATTTGAAGAATCTGGTTGATTTCAAGTACACAGTTATAGTAAAGTAATATAAATAAATATTCCACCAATTGATAGAAAAGACAAGATACTGTTTCAGTTATAGTTTGGGTCAATTTCCTGCAACCTGACAATGTTCCAGTACTCCAATTACATTGGGATTTAAACTTTGAGTGGAACTATTCCACTCAGCATGGAATAGTACCAGTTTGGGGAAGGCTGATTTAGACATGCAAAACTGTAATCTACAACAATTCCAGTCATTATAGATTAGGATTAAATAGAAACACAGAAAACATTGTACTCATGTTTTTTAGCTTCCCTTTCTCAGTTTAGCTGTTCATACTTTACACCTAAAGCCATACTTAAATGTTGAGAAGTATAACATACATGAATGGATGTATATGAATCCAACAGGGATACATATGGAAAAGAAAAAAATGTAACTTTTTTGACATATGCATATGTTGGCATTTAATCTCTGGACATATTTTGTTCTGCTATGGCTAGATTAATTATATTCAACTTGCAGCTTTTCATAAACTTAGAGGGAATTTTCAAAACTACTGTACACAAGAGAAAAATAACTAATCTTTCCCACTATGGGTTAGTTTGAAATATGAGATGTCTATTAGGTTTCATTTTTGGAAAATCAATTGATAGGCATATAACTAAGCCATTTTAAAAAGGCTAATAATTACAAGACACCTGAAACTCAATTTATATAATCTCTGTTTGGATTTTTATGATGAACATTCTAAGACTAATACTTATTCTAATACTAATCTTTCTAAAACATTTTACAAAGATAAGGCACAGTAAGTGTTAGTCTTTAAATTTTGATTACATCTTTATTTTAAAACACTAACCATAAAGACAGCATTTTTACTTACTGGAAATAAGAGTGTAGCCAAAGCTGCTTTTGTGCAGTTTGCATACTATATGGAAGAGAACCTCCAGCTGAAAAAGAAAGACAATATTAATTATTTAATTTTGACATGTGGACTTACAATTTTATTATCAAAGACAGGAATAAATATATATAATATATATATATTTTACCTGGATAACCTTCTAAACTCTGTCTCACATTTTCAACACTTGGGTAAATCTAAACAAATAAAAGCAAATATAGTATCAGGTAGTAATAAAAAATGCATCATGCATGTTATATAATTTACCAATTATCAAAATACTACTAAGAAACAGAGCATGAGTACATACCAGTCAAGTTTGATGCTGCTATTGGTTTGCTGAAAACTTATCTGTTGTTTATTTTTAAGATTTGGCTACAATTTTTTTTTAAAATCTGTAACATAGAAACTAGCTTCTGGATAGACTTGTATATTTATTCAAAGCTTGACTAAATCACAGTGCTGATTTGGCAAAGACTGGTTGAATTAAATAAACATTTTGAAATCTGAATACTTAAAAAAGCAAAGTAGAGATTTTGTGGAGGTGAAAAATGCTTTTTCAGTAAGGATGAGCAACCAACAGACTATACTCTTAAAATTTGATGGCAAAATTGCTCATTTTTTTTGTAGTGCCATTATTTGCTCTTCATACATTATCTCTCCATAGCAACCATTCAGGAAGCTGGTTTCATATGTTAGGATTCCCCCCCAGTTTTAAGAGTGGAGATGGGAACAAGTACCCCTATTTTGAATCCCTGCCCTTAAGGCCGTCAACTCTAATCATTCTGGGTGAGGGCTTAAGGGGAATAAACGGCCTATGACTCATTCATTATTCAAGAAAACCTTTCTTGTATAGAAGGGCATAAACCTCACTTTTTTTCTGTACGCTGGATTCTAGAAGATATCAGTGTGTGTGGGCAGGTACATTTTTAACAATAATACAGTATATTCTGTAAATAAATGTCCCAGTAGCAGATATTCTGCTGTTCTAACTTTTATAAACACGTTAAATTTTCACACTCTCTCATAAATATCCAGACCCACACATATGTATGTATCAAGTGGCCAATACCAGATGGATAGGAATTTGATTTGGAGGATTCTTCAAATTGCTTCCTAAACTCCCCAAACTTTCTCTAAATTCTGAACACAGCCATTTGGACTGATCAACTCCCATTGATCCAATACTTGAGAATTGTCCTATTATAGGCCAAGAATTTTGATCAGGTATTTGTGTTGCTTGTTCCTTCAGAAGCTGTTTGGGGGGAAAAACAGAAACAACAATAAAATATTAACACTTTATCACCTTCAATTATTCAATTAAGTAGCAGACAAGGCACAAATTATCATTTATGAAGCTATTGCTCCTTAATTAGTTGCATATGTTCAATATTTTATACAACAGTGTATACTGCAATTATTGCAGAGACTTGTGCTGAAATCTTACTTTCCTGAATAACTTCCAGATATGTTGAGCTTTAACTCTTATATTATGGCAGACGCAGGCTAACATATCCACTACTATTAGTGGGAAAACCAGCGTTCAATTTCTATATAAAACCAATTAAATTTCCAGTCCCTTTGTAAACTGAAGGACAATGAATTGAAACTATCAATTGTTGCAGCAATCCAAATACAATTTTTTGGCATAAAATTCTGAGTTACCTAACAATAACAATAATACAGGGCTGTCTAATTGGAACAATTCAAGATGGTATGCAGTGTGTAAAATTCTAACCTTGCCTGCAGAGACTGCCAAAGTAAGCCTAAATCTCTTATTAATCTGCTAATTAAATAATGTATGATGTAGTGTACGTATAATGCTGGGAAAAATGAAAAGAACAGAAAAAAAGACAAACAGCAGCAGAGTGGATGGATCCAATTATAATGATAATGGGCTCACTGTTGCAACACCTGAAGGCTCAGTTGGGGACAGATCATCCAATTTATTTATCAAATTTGTATAGTCATCTATCTCCCCAAAAGTGACTCTGGGTGGTGTACAACAATGGGAAAAGAACCACAAATATAAAATTATATAGAAACCTCTAAGTACAAAAATGCAAACTGGTCATTGCAGCAATGGAGCCATCTAAAGTGGTGGGACTTATCTCTGGGGGGGGGATGAGTCTGCGTACCGAGATGAGGTGGACCGGTTGCTTTCGTGGTGTGAAGACAACCACTTGGTCCTCAACACCAATAAGACCAAGGAGCTTATAGTGGATTATAGAAGGAACAGATCAGACATCAAATATTTTAGAGCAATTCCTCTGTATTGATTATTTTATGATTTCTCTGAACTTCAGGTGGAAGTTCCGTATTCCCTAAAATAATCAACTCAGTCATATTTTAATATCTCAACATGGACCAAATATTTTAACTACTTCAAAGAAATCGGAGGTGCTATCTCTTATGATGGAGTCCATTTATGAAACCAAGCATAAAGAGATTCCATTTCAAGTTTATTGAACCTGTGGCAGAATATATTTGAAAGGATGTATGTTTTCTCTGCAGCAATGTAAAAAAATTATGGCAACATTAATACATATGATTTGGTCTTCTAAATTACTGGTATTTTTAGAACAACATTTGTATAGCTAGCTAGATAATTCAAGATATTAATATATTGAATTATGTTCACGAAATGTAGAGTTTGATTGTTTTTGAAGAACTGTCCACTGCTCACAAAATTATTTTGAAAAATTGGAAAAGCAATTATTCCAGACATTAAGAACTGAATTTAAGATGTAGAATTAATCTATTTTTGAAAATCATTTTTGCACTAAAAATGATGCAATGCATTTCATTTGACACAGAATTCAAATTTTACAAAATATGTTTTAATTTGAAATTTTCATGTTTAAAACTTGAAATATAAGTGACATGTTCATACTTTTCAACTTTTGTTTTGATTTTTCTTGTTCTTTTTATTTTTGTTTACATCTGTGTATTTTTTCGTAACTTGAGAGTCCAAAATGCCTAACACTGAAACAAACTGGGTTTATGTGTTTATGATGAATTGTCTTAACAGTTTTCTAAGTCTGAAGATTATTCCAAGACAAATTCCTTGTGTGTCCAATCACACTTGGCCAATAAAGTATTCTATTCTATTCTATTCTATTCTATTCTATCCTATCCTATCCTATCCTATCCTATTAGAAAAGCTGCTAGCAATGAATTTTTCAACAATAACGAGTAACAAGATTACGTCTTCATAAGATACATCTTCACTGCTCACATTCCCTCAAGGGAGATGTGTGGTCTAGACGGCCAGTTAAGAAACATGAAATATAAATAAATAATTTTACAAATATTTACTTGGAAATATTCCAACTATTTCATAGTTCTACAAATATTTATCAGAAATACAGGAAAGATGACAGGCATAAACATCTAGTACCTTTCTCAGTTTAAGATGACCCCATTTTTCTTTTGCATTACCTTGATATCGACCTGGAGTTGACCCAATAAGATATACTCTGTATAAAAAATAACCACAAAGAGTTTGGTGTTTTCCCAAATTGTGTCATAGTGCGTATGTTATTACAGCATAATTATACAGCATATAAATACAGTTTATTTTAAAATAGTTTTTCTCCAAACTGCATTACTGCTTATTAAAAAACCTAGACATATCTTAACAAAAAGCTTCTGCCCAGAGTCTAATTTAAATTGCTGAACATACGAACCAAATGCTTTTCAAAAAGAAATACTGACATTATCTTTAGTAACCAACTTACAAAAATGCATCTTCAATGCTGTAACCTATTTCAATGAATGCTATTTTATAGTTTAAAAATGGCTTATACTGAAACAAATTATTTTTGTATAATGAACATTGGAACTGTGATAATTTAATACATTGAATTATATACCTTGTCTCTGAAAGATCATGTTGCTTAATTATTTCAACCCACTCCATCAGACTAGGAGATTTATAAGATATCAAGTAGCTTATTAGATCTGACTTAAAATTTGTATGAGATTCACCATCTGAATCAGCACTCCCAGGAGGCAATCTTGGATACAAAGGACTTAGCCATATTCTAAAATATTAAAAGGTAAAGCAACAAAATAGCATTAACAAGCACATATTATGTGGTTTAAAAAGAATAAACACATTCACTTTGTGTTTTTTTGCAAAGCAAAGTTAAACTCAGTTATGACACCATACTCTATCAAACCTGAGTTATGAACATTTACGGTGTCTTGAAATCATATAGGTAGACCTTGATTTACAACCAATCATTTAATGTCCATTAAAAGTTACAATGGCTGCAGAGAGTGTTTTACGCCTGTAAAGTCCTACTGGTCATTGTAAAATGTCCTTCTGCCTTCCTCCCACATCACGTGATTTCCTCCTCCCATGTCATGTGATAACAATCTGGGTGATTAGCAATCTGTTTGCACTTTTGATCAATTGCCAATGCCCCATGATCATGTGATCGCCATTTGCAATCTTCTCTGACAGCTACCCCAGAAAGCCTGTGGGGAAGCCGATATGGATGATTGCCAGCTGCTGCCACCTGCCAAGAGGATTTCTTCTCATCTCTGTGGGCTGGCTGAAATTGCTGCCTGCTGAGGGGAATTGAACTTTTTCAATGGGACAAAGAAATGGAGCTCAGATCCTGATGATTTAAGCTCTATTCCTCCACCCCACCAAAGAAGTTCCCTTCTACATGTAGAGAAAAACTGACAGCTGCCTGCAATTTGGCAGTTCAAATCTCACCAGGCTGAAGGTTGAGTCAGCCTTCCATCCTTCCAAGGTGGGTAAAATGAGGACCCAGATTGTTGGGGGCAATATGCTGACTCTGTAAACCACTTAGAGAGGGCTGTAAAGCACTATAAAGCATTATATAAGTCTAAGTGCTAGTGCTCTTGCTATCCTTCCACAGAGTGCAGAAACAGAGCTCAAATCTGCACCCCAAGGATACAGCTTTTTCACTCAACACCTAGGGACAAGATGGAATTGAAATCCAAGCACAATTTTCAGCTCCTGAGCAAAGTAGCAGCACAGTAAGGTAAGGAGTGTAGGGTGCCTCAGGTAGGTGAGGAGATCTGGTGCAGGCCCCATGCAAGTGTCTCTTCACTCAGGGGCTAAAAATCCTGTATGGATTTTGGCAAGGAGGATTTTCAGTTCCTGAGTGGAACCTCCTAGGATGTTCCCCTCCCATCCTCTGCTCCTTAGCTGGGACTCCATCTGTTTAACAATCTGTGTGTGTCTGCTTAACAACCACAACCAGGAGTGCCAGCATTGCACTCAATGAACAAACCAGTCATGTGGACAATCATGTGACATTGTGCTTAAATCTCATTTTGCTCAGCGACCGAGAGTGCGGCCCTGATAGTGGTAGTTAAGTGAGGCCTTCCTATAAATTTTCAAAGAAACCTCATCAGGAAATATTATTTAGTTACGTAAAAGAAATGGCTTCTGTTATACTAATGGATCCCCAACCTATTTGCAAATACATCTGGGCTTTTTATAAATCTTTTGTTGAGTACTCTATCACTGTGTGGAGAAAGAAAAGGAAGTCTGTAAATGTGTTGCTCCCATGTAAGTGTTAAAAAGGAAGAACAAGGATGGAATGAAGATTCACAAAAACCCAGGTATCACTAAACAGAGCATGGCAAGAGTAATAAGGTGCATAATGATTTTTTTAAGTTTCCTCATTCATAATTTATCTCTGTAGCAAGGAAAGACAGACGTGTGGAGACATAGAAGTTCAGGACAGTCTGACCCAAGAACTTAAGCAACTCATTAAGTCAATCTTAGGATATTAAAGCAACAACCATGAGTTATATTGTTTATACTGATGAATGAAATGGGGTATGAAGATGACCAAATAAGCTATTATGTGCAAAAAAGCCAAATATTTTCTGTCATTTCCCCTCTAAAAGCAAACATTCTATATTCAGGAAATACTCTTTATTCTGAATAAAAAAAAGGTTCTTTATCTTTCTGAGTTGTATGAGAAAGAGAGCAAAACACTACCTTCTCAGTTGCAGACATCAATTGTAAGAAAATATATTCACAGCATTTTTCTATGAGCAGTACAGAATTCATGCAGTAATTATGCAGTAATTTAATTAGCTTCACTATAATTTCAGAAGTCAGCTATATCATTCAAGACATTTTCTTTTGAAATGCTTCTTTCTGAGTAACATTATTAACTATTGTTTATGATTCTTTAGTTGATAAAAATAGGATTTATTGCAGATACTGCTTTTTAAATCTGCATGACCAGGAGATTTGCTGCTATATTTTGAAATCACACAAATCAAGCCAGTAAAATCCAATATGATATTGTATTTAAAATGTGGTGGTGGGAGTAAGATTAGGAAGACCTAGATGCTTATCCACCCACAGCAGTGAAAGTTTACTAGATGACTTGGGCCAGTTGCTCTCTTTCAGATCAGTTATAGGATTGCTTTTGTGGGAAAAACTGGAAGAAGTGGTATTACATAGACTACCTTGAACTCTGCAAGAAATAACTAATATATAAACAAGAATGTGTCATCTAAGAATAACCGACTCAATGATTGTTGTGAAGGTATTAACCATGGCATGTAGTCATGATCCAAAATATCAAATTATAATTTTTCTTACCCTTGTGTTTTCTGGTACCAATCATCATCAATAAGATTAGATGTATGTATCACCACTCGAAGGCCTTCTTCATAATTCAACAACATCATTTTCCTATAAAAATAATTTAATTTTAATTTAATAATTTAATTTTAATTATAAAAAATAATTAACTGCCAAGACGAAAATGAAAAGGATATTTACATAAAACCATGCAATAGAATTATAAAAGAGTTGCAATGATATTGATCCATTTGAGTCACTAAAATTTTCCTTCAAGAGTGATATTTCCTAAATGTAGATCTATTCTAGTTTGTTTGTTTGTTTAAATGCAAAACACAACTTTACTTGGAACACTTTACATTCTGTGACAATATTCTAGTCTTGATTATCCAACTGATTGGCTGGACTAAATGTCATTTTTATCAGCCTCATATGTAGACCAGATCAGGAAGCAAACTACGGGGAGGGGAGAATTATTTTATTAAGACACGCTATTATAACAGAATCTTGAAAGTCCCAACTGCCAATTTATACTCTTGCAAAATATGAAGATGTCTGAGTCTTTTCTTCCTTTCCTTATATTTTGTGCTTGAATTCTTTTTGCTTTGTCATTCTATATTACATATTTTTGGGGACGTGTGTGTGTGTGTGTGTGTGTGTGTGTGTGTGTGTGTGTATTGCTGTCAAAAAGATTAGATTGGCAGGAACTCATGACAGATCTAAACAAGAGGATCAATGATGCTAGTGCCTAATATTTCTATACTGTATGGTTTACTAATCTTTTTCTATTAGTGTATTTGTCCTGTTATATTATCAAGAACTTCCAAACTTTGAACAAATTTACTTCCTAATTACCAACTGCCATTATACTGAACAATTTATTATAACATGTACTTCATTCACTGTATGCTACATGGTACATAGAAGGCTTATACAACATTACAATACCATTTTAGTGCTTTTGCATTCTGAATGGCTCTACTTAAATTAGGAATTTGAAATTCTTAGTTAATGACAAATATTATACTGAGTCTATTGGCTATAGTGGGGCCTGTCTAAAGCATTAGTTTTACTTTAAAACTCTGTATTGATTATTTGAAGAATCAATTACACATATACAAATTTCAGGGACTCTAATCTCTCCATTAAAAGATTTTAGCTTACTGGAGAATAGGGCTTTCAAATAATTGACTACTGTATTGTCTATGAATTCTTCACTGATATAATTCTATCATACATTTTTAAAGATATTTATAAAAGCATGTCATTTTAATAGCTAGTCTAATTTTAATACTGTGCATTTAATATATTTCATTTTAAAATGTTCCCTGATATGCAATTGTTCCCACAATTTGAAGTGTGATCCTGCTACGGTCACCCACTTAAAAAATTGCTAAGTAAATCTAATAGTCACATGTTCTTTTTGTACACTTGTTTTTGTGAACACTTAAAAAAGTAATTAAATCACCATAGATTCTAAATAGAAAATGTCCGATATTGCCCTGATGTTTTCCTCCAAACAAGTTAGGTTGCCTTAGAAACTGGCACCTGAGAATCAAAATGTACTGAAATAAAAATATACCTAGTCATATAACTGACTCACTGCATGATTACACATGGTTCTGCTAGTGTTATAAATATTTATAGTTTAGAAATTAAAGCAAAACCTTCTTTAGAGTATGCTTCATATGCTGCAAAATACAGTGAACAGTGAAGCCTAAAATAATAATAAAATAACACTATCTGGAAAAATTGTTTTAGAAAATATTAAGTACCAACTTGTAACTAAATATGCAGTAACAGTACAAATTTTATTTTAACAATTCCTAATTCTATCCTAATGGCACTCAAAGGAGCTTTGAGTTTACATGTTTGAAACAGTACTTTGATTAATGGTTTATAAAATCATTTCTGAAGGCAACTAAGAGTTGGCATTGGAGGTGGTCAATGGATTAAAAAGATCCCACCTCCGCCCCATTATACATTGGTTCCTTCTTAGTTGATTTTTGCTCATTTTAATCTTAACATTTACCATCTTATTTAATGTTTAATGATTATTGTTGCTTTTATCTTGTAAAAAGCCCCTTTATAGTGAGATGGATAGCCTAGACATTTAAAAAAATGGAATAGAATAGAGTAGTGTAGAGTAAAACAGAACAGAACAAAATAAAGGTAGTATATACAGTAGTAGTGCTGTTTAGCTAAAACAAAGCAAACATGTTGTGGTCATTCAACCATGGCCAAATTTTTGTAATTTAAACACAGGGTACAATTCCAAATGCTGATTGCTACCATTAAAGTCCTATATTGCATGGTACCAGGTTATCCACAGGACTGTGTCTCCTTAAGGACTGCTTTGAGTTATTTGTAAAAATAATAAAGGTGAGATACAAATAAATAAATAAAATAAAAAATAAGGAGAGGTTGGGTGGAGTGAGCATGTTCCTAGTTCCCTCTTTTAAGTGTTGCCATTTTATGGGACCCTAGGAAATATGGCTTTCTGTAGCAGCCTCTACCATATAGAACACCCTTTTCCCTTGAAATTTAGCTGGCCCTCACCCTCCTTTTAATGTTCGGAAGAGCACTTAAGGCTTGGCTTTTCTCCTAAGCACTGGGATAGGATGGGATTTTTTTTTTCTTTTAACAACCCTGTAATCCCTTGCAACAGGGTGGAGTTTGGGTGACTGAATGGAACTGAGCATTTACTGGCTTTACTGCCCTGCCTTACGTCTATGTGGAGTTCACACCATATATTTTCTCTTTGTACCCAGAGAGAGAATTTAGGATCAAATGTCACTATTTAGGATCAAATGCACAGCTTCCTGATTGTAAGATAAGAGCTCCACCTCTAAGCCACCATGCCATTTGGGATAGGATGAGACTAATGAGATGAAATTGTGGTCTGCATGTAAAAGGTTTAGCTATAGTATCAGATTTTGATTTGGTTTAACTGTATCCCCAGTCATGTGATCAAAATTTGAGAGCTTGGCAATTGGCATGTATTTATGACAGGGTGGATTTAATTTAAATCGAGTCGATTTAAATCATGCTTTAAATCACTAGTAAAAAGGCTCGATTTAAATCAACTCAATTTAAATCATGTTTAAAGAGCAACTGTCATCTCTGTCCTGCAGCGGCTCCTCCTCTGATCCGCTACTGACTCACCAACAGTCCCAATATTGCAGAATATACAGCCTCATGCTACATAACTAAGCTCCATTTCATGCTAAATAAACTAAATTATTAATGTATCTTAAACAGAAAACTATCTTTGGATAGATTTTTATTCCAAAGGCATTTTATTAAAATAAATTTGATTAAAAAAACCCGCTTTAAATTAAGAAAATCTGATTTAAATAAAACAGATTTTTTATTTTTATTTAAAAAAGCATTGATTTTTATTCACCCTGATTTATGATACATATTTATGACAGTTGCACTCTCCCATGGTCATGAAATCACCATTTGTAACTTTCCCAACAGCTTTTAGTCAATGGGGTAAGCCAGATTTGAATTCACTTAATAACTGAAGTGATTTGCTTAACTGTGGCAAAAAATGTTGTAAAATGGAACAAAACACACTAAACAACTGCCTTACTTAGCAACATAAATTTTGGGCTCAACTGTGATTGAGAAGAACTACCTTGCTTGTATAAATATTTTAATTAAAAAAAAAACATGAATATCACTAGGCTTTACTTAAGAAAAATGAATTTGTTTGCTAAATTTAATTCCTCAAATCATACTTTATTATAACAAACTTTTTATCTGGTGAATTTTTTAAAAAGCATCAGTCCTATCTTGTTTTAAGAAACACATTGACCTGATTCACACATAATGCTAACGTAATGCTTTTTTCTTTTGGTATAGCATAATTTGAAAAGGCACACAATAGGCTAGCATTGTATGTAAACCAAGCAATATGAATACATCTGCAGAATGTGGCTGTTGCCATCCATGATTTAATCTGTCTTGCAAACAGAATTACAAATAACTATAACACCAGAAAAAGATACATACATGCATGCCATTATGGACTCCAAGGAACCTTTTCCTTTCAAATCTAAAGTATTGTGCAGGGCATTATGGATAACAAATAACTAGACTATCTAGCACCACTGTTTCTATATTTTTAATATTCCAATATTTTATGTTTTTAATCTGAAATTATGGCATATATGAATTATAATGCTCTATAATTCAGGGAATTTACTTCACAAATCCACCATTCACTAAATTGTGTACAATGCAAATATTATGTATTTGAGTTCTGTAGCCGCCCATCTCAGCAAACGACTATGGGCAGGTCTCAATACAATTCAAATATGCCATCGTGATACAAGATCCCCATACAGGACAACCAATAATGTTGTACCTTTGCAAGAAAATAATCACAAATTGACTTGCTGTTTTCTTAGATTCTATACCAGATGGAGAATTCACAACAGAAATTTATAATAGTATTTCTATGATAAGTTTAAAACATAATCCTGTTCCTAGGATGATTTATATAAGGCATAATACACTGCTCAAAAAAATAAAGGGAACACTTAAACAACACAATGTAACTCCAAGTCAATCACACTTCTGTGAAATCGAACTGTCCCCTCAGGTAGCAACAGATTGACAATCAATTTCACATGCTGTTGTGCAAATGGAATAGACAACAGGTGGAAATCATAGGCAGTTAGCAAGACATCCCCAATAAAGGAGTGGTTCTGCAGGTGGTGACCACAGACCACTTCTCAGTTCCTATGCTTTCTGGCTATGGTTTGGTCACTTTTGAATGCTGGCGGTGCTTTCACTCTAGTGGTAGCATGAGACGGAGTTTACAACCCACACAAGTGGCTCAGGTAGTGCAGCTCATCCAGGATGGCACATCAATGCGAGCTGTGGCAAGGTTTGCTGTGTCTATCAGTGTACTGTCCAGAGCATGGAGGCGCTTACCAGGAGACAGGCCAGTACATCAGGAGACGTGGATGAGGCCATAGGAGGGCAACAACCCAGCATCAGGACCGCTACTTCTGCCTTTGTGCAAGGAGGGACAGGAGGAGCACTGCCAGAGCCCTGCAAAATGACCTCCAGCGGGCCACAAAGGTGCATGTGGCTGCTCAAACAGTCAGAAACAGACTCCATGAGGGTGGTATGAGGGCCTGACATCCACAGGTGGGGGTTGTGCTTATAGCCCAACACCGTGCAGGATGTTTGGCATTTGCCAGAGAACACCAAGATTGGCAAATTCGCCACTGACGCCCTGTGCTCTTCACAGATGAAAGCAGGTTCACACTGAGCACATGTGACAGACGTGACAGGGTCTGGAGACACCGTGGAGAATGTTCTGCTGCCTACAACATCCTCCAGCATGACCGGTTTGGCAGTGGGTCAGTAATGGTGTGGGATGGCATTTCTTTAGGGGGCCGCACAGCCCTCCATGTGCTCACCAGAGGTAGCCTGACTGCCATTAGGTACTGAGATGAGATCCTCAGACCCCTCGTGAGACCATATGCTGGTGTGGTTGGCCCTGGGTTCGTCCTAATGCACAACAATGCTAGACCTCATGTGGCTGGAGTGTGTCAGCAGTTTCTGCAAGACGAAGGCATTGATGCTATGGACTGGCCCGCCCGTTCCCCAGACCTGAATCCAATTGAGCACATCTGGGACATCATGTCTCGCTCCATCCACCAATGTCACATTGCACCACAGACTGTCCAGGAGTTGGGGGATGCTTTAGTCCAGGTGTGGGAGGAGATCCCTTAGGAGACCATCCGCCACCTCATCAGGATCATGCCCAGGCATTGTAGGGAGGTCATACAGGCACGTGGAGGCCACACACACTACTGAGCCTCATTTTGACTTGTTTTAAGGACATTACATCAAAGTTGGATCAGCCTGTAGTGTTTTTTTCCACTTTAATTTTGAGTGTAACCCCAAATCCAGACCTCCATGGGTTGCTAAATTTGATTTCCATCGATAATTTTTGTGTGATTTTGTTGCCAGCACATTCAATTATGTAATTAACGAAGTATTTAATAAGAATATTTCATTCATTCAGATCTAGGATGTCTTATTTTTGTGTTCCCTTTATTTTTTTGAGCAGTGTATATAATTTATATAAGGGCAAAATGAAATTACTGAATTGCAGCAATAATGGATACACCATTGAAGAACCACATCAGGGACAATCGTCATGGAGAAAAATGTAGTTAAGAGTTAACACCAACTTGACAGCACACAATCAATAACTTTGTTAAAGTTAGCCAGCCGCCTTCTTATATTCTGTATTTTTATCATTTCAATTATTTTGCTTTTTAAAGTTACTTTCATGTTATCATTTTTACATAGCTTTCATTTTAATTATAGTCTTTTTACCATTTTCTGGTTTTATTATTTTTCCTAATCATGTTTAACATGTTTAAGATTTGTTATTGATTTGGTTGCAAATGTTTTTACTTAATATTTTTGTGTTAATCTTAAATATATCTGCCAGCTGTATCCATCCACTCATCCTACAACAGCTTATAAAATCTTATCTGCCTATTAAAGTCATTTTTTACTTTTTAAACTGGATTTTGTCATTTCAGAATTGGGATTTGGCATCACAATCTAGCAAGCCATAGCCTAGAGGTATGAGCAGTTAAGATGGGCTTGTAAAATACTACAAAGAAATTATAGAACAGACAATTTTATAATGAAGGATATCCAGAATTTAAACAGATAACATTTCACAATATTATAATAATGGGGAAAATGTGCTATATTCCTGGATGCCAGGATATTGTTAGAAGTCATAGTACCATGAATATAAAATTGTGAATCTTAGCTAGTAATTTCTGTGGACCAGTGTATAAAGACGGCAGAATAGGTCTTACACACTTCACAACTACTTGTAAAAAGTGCTTTGGATCTTGCGCAAGTGGATCACCACTCTGCTATTCATTAAAATAAACTTATCCTTTTCAGGCTTTTGTGAACGCCTGAGAAGAAAACCCATTTTTTAAAATGAAATCCACTCATTAAAGTTCTTTTCTGATACATTTTCAAAGTATCCATTGTTGTAAGACCATGTATGTAACTCTATGTACAAATGTAACTGGGCCCCAGGTCAATCTAACACAAAACATATCAAAATTAAAATGCATCTGAAGGCAATCTATATGAGCCTAAATTATTTTAAATAAACCATTAGTATAGCTGACATCTGTATTTTCAACACTAAGAGTTGAGATTCATAGGATTGTACATTTTATTATAAACTCATTGCCTTATAATAAAGCATTTTCCTTTCCAGGAGAAAACCTCCTCATATATTGATAACACTCCTAAGCAACCTTCACCAACTATAGCTACTTCTGAGAATTCTGGAAGGGGAATGCTACATGAATTAGGCTTATTAATTCAAAGAGCAGCTTACCCTAAAACAGTATTTTGTAAAGCAAAAGAGGTAGAGAAAATAGGTAGTGAGAAGAGGCAATTGGTATATCAAGATAATTGGCATTTTATTTGTATTTTCTCAGTACTCAAACACAACAAGATTGCAATTATTTCTACAATCACACTGGCATTTATCAAAATAATTACCTTATTTCTATAGCAGACATTCAGCATTTATGATAAATTACTTACGTGTGGTGCGTTCCAAAGGCAATATCCAATTTTGCCTACAATAAGAACATGGTTTAAAAATATGTTTTTCAGTATTGGGCACTTGTCATTATATGTAAATAATACTAAAAATACTTTTTTTTTTGCTTTATTTTGATGCACTCTGGTGGCTGCTACACAAACTGCACAATAGACCTTTTATAGCTAATACTACATAATATAATCTTTGATTCAAAGATACTTCACACATCATTTTGTACAATAAATTGTCACACATTCATTTTAAATTTCTCAGTTTGTATCTCAACGCCATTGTCATCCAGAGCTGAACCTGCAATTTCCAATGTTCTCAGTGAATATAGTCATAATGACTGGGGAATTTTGAGAATTACAGTCCTAATATAGACAAAAAATGCCAAGTTAGGGAAGATTTAAGTAGATTATTTTATCTATAACTTGCCTTTATTACTTTTAGAGATAGCGCAAGGCAGAAAACATCCTCCTTCTATTTTCCCTAAAACAGCCACCCTATGAGGTGAGGTGGGATGAAAGTGTGTTCCTAGACCAAGGTCACCCAGGCAACTTTATTAGGCAGGAAAAAAGAAATACAACGTGAGAGAACATGAAAAATTAGGAAAAAGAACTTCTTCATTTTACTACTCTCCCTGCTCTCCCTCTCCCCCCCCTCTACACACAAACACACGCGCACACACACCATACATACATACATTTTTTTAGGAAACAGTAAAAGCTTTACATGATCACATTAATACACGGAAAAAAATTCAAAAGTTGAACATGAAAACATTGGGAGGGGAGAAGATTTTTTGAGCATACTTGCTAGATGATGAACTTATAGTGTCAGGTTAGAGTACTACAGGGAGTCCTCGATTTACAACAGTTCATTTAGTGACCATTCAAAGTTACAACAGCAGTGAAAAAAGAGACTTCTGTTTTCACAATTATGACCATTACAGCATCCCCAAGGTCACACGATCAAAATTCAGATGCTTGGCAACTGATTCATATTTATGACGGTTGCAGCGTCACTGGGGTTCTGTAATCCCCATTTGTGACCTTCTGACAAGCAAAGTCAATGGGGGAAGCCAGAATCTCTTAACAATCATGCTCCTAACTTTACAACTGTAGTGATTCACTTAACAACGGTGGCAAGAAAAGTCATAAAATGGGGCAAAATTCACTTAACAAATGTTTCACTTAGTAACCCAAATTTTGGGCTCAATTGTGGTCATAAGGTGAGGACGACCTGTCTATACTTTTGGTAAATGTAGTGATAATAAAAGTGATTACCTGGCATAAACGAACATTTTTATACGGGTGAGCATCTTCATGTAGCTCAGCCTTGGATTCTCGCTTCTCTCCATGGACTATTAATAAAGGTTTGTCCCTAAGGTTTAAAAATATATATAAAAAAATCACTTGCACAAGCTTCTAATTATTATTTATTTGAAACAGCTTAATTATCTTAGAAATGTTTTGAGCTACATTCTCAAGGATAATTGTAAAAAGTTTTATTTACACTTTTTCACCTTCCTCTTTAAAAATGTAACTTACATTCACAGCAGCATGGGAAGGTCAACTTTATCTTCCCACCTCCAAAAATGCTAACCTCTAACATTGTATAATTATGTAGTTATTCTTGTAAAGCAAGCACAAAATAAGGTAGGGTATTCTCCCTTTCCCACAAGGATTCTAAAAGAAATGTGTAACCACAATTCAGTTTCCCTTCCATTTGTCTTCATCCCGACCTTCATAAATGCAATGACTTAAGGAGGAGAGCATAATTCAGCACCACACAATATAAAGAAGATTGGTAGGAAAAATTAAAGGGAACAAAAATGAACAGATGTCTTTCCTTACAGAATTCATGGGGAGGGAAAAGTGGATGCCTTTTCTATGTGTTGCTCTATTTTATAAATAGACAGGAGAAATTTAATTCACAATGCACTTGGACTACATCTCCAGAATTTTCAATCATATCCATCAGCCAATACTGGCTTCTTGTATCTGAATACCTGGTAGGCAAGTAACCGACAATCTCTGGATTATATTGCACTGGAATAACATAATTTGAACATGACACATCGGGTTCTGAAAATAACACCTGCCATTTTGTGCACAAGACACAATCCAAGGAGCCTAAAAATCAACTAACATAAATTCTCTAAAACAGAACTCTTACATAGAGTGGAGACTACATGTAAACGCTATTTTTCTACCAGAAAATACCAAAAACAGCTATTGCTTCAATGCAACTATTTTAAATTAATTCAAAGCCGGTGGATATTATCCTCGTATTATCAATGAAGATTACAGATTATTTAACAAGAGAAAATATTTTTATAAATACGTTTGAAACATGTTATATTTTTAAATAAAAATTATGCTAAGGATTAAAGTTCTTCAATGCAAAAATACATTTGTTTTCTCCAGAGTCAAATCTTCTAATGAAAGATTGATACTGTTGCTGTATCCTTAAACTTATTTTTCTTATCCAATGTAGCAAATAACACATTTATCTCACAATACTGACAACAGTAAACTTAGCATGCACAAATTAAAAATACAAAATGGAAGCTGAAATTAAATACTGAAGCTCTTTTATGTACCTGAATTCCTTTGGATATTGTTGGACCAGCCATTCCACATCTATACAATAATTAAACTTTGCCATAGGAAAAAGAAAATAGTTTTTAGAAGTCAAAAAGAAAGAGATGCAATATTATGCCTATGAATGACAGCATGTTGGAAGTTGTACCTATGTTTATACAGATTTCTATGCTGCCTTATTGATAAAACACACACACTCTAATATATTAGAAAATTAACAAATGCCATTCTATACAATCTACAAAAACAGATACAAAATTTAAGCAGGATTATGGGAGGTCCTGGTTTCTCCTAATTGTGCCTAATTGTACACATTCTATTAATTTATGCATGGATATACTCTCAAGAATAAACAGCTAATTAAACAAGCATTCCAAACTGTCGATCCCAACTTATATTACTTAACAGCAACTGGTTGTATTATTAATGTACAATCTTGATTTGCTGGAGAATAATAAATCCGGGTTCCTAAGAAAATTTAAAAACACATGAAAAATAGTGTAAATAATATTACACTGTATAGAAATGGACAAGCTAACAATGAAGTTAAAAGATAAGGAAGATTCAATATATTAGATAGCCTGGGACGCCTGGTATGAATGGTTTAATAAAAAGAAATTAAAATGCCAATTAGGTAAAGAATGAGAAATTATGTAAATATGTATATGTATTATGGAGAAAATTGAAATATAAGATGAAATATATTGATTTGTAGTAAAAGTAAGGAAAGAATTATGCAATGGTAATGGAATAAGAAATTATATATAGAAAAATGTAAGGAAATGTAAAAGATGTCTTGATGTTGATACAATGGTGTATAAAGTTTTATTTCATGTTTTTAACCTTTGAAAATTGAATAAAATTTATTTTTTTAAAAAAGAAAAATATTGTAGTTTGGTTAGACTTTTGCACTCAGAGATCCTGGCAAGCATCAAAGAGCAGAACTACAAAAGTAGTTAAGTTAAAACATTACAAATATTGACTTACCATCTCTAGTTTATAGATTTCTAATGAATATGTAACTAAGTTCATAAATGTATTTATATAAATTGATACATATTTTAATACCATTAAAATAAAAAGTAAATAGTACACACAAACAAAATTTCATGCCTGCCACCTATTTTGTGATTCTGGTCTTTAAAATGATAGTTTTATTATCATTCTACCATGGCTTCTGAACCTTTTTAATATACACAGCTATTTTAATTATACACTTCCAAAAGACTATTCTGAATTTTGACACTGCTATAGAAAATATGATCTCTATTTTACATTAAAAAGACAATAAAATATACCTGAGCAGAAGATACAAGAGTCCCAAAAAGAGGAGATAAAATATCTATTATAAGAAAAAAATATGTGTTATAAGTACAGCAAGCATATCTACTGAAGTGGTAACAGATATTTTTTTTTAGCAATGTCAAGCAACTAATCCTAGATTTTGCCCAGGTCAGGTTCATACATTACAGGAAACCCAAACCAAACACCAGATTACATGAGTTATAACCATGATGTAGGAACACACACATATGACAGCAAGACCTATTTACTGCAAACACAAAATCCATGATATAATTTTCTGAGTCATGGTTAACATGCTGTGTGAGTTCAACCAGCTGTTTTTATTTACATTAAACAAACCATCATTTATTATATTTTATAAATGCAATTTGCATGTTATATGCAGATTACATATTAAATTGTTACATAAACAATTTAAGAGCTGTGGAGGTGCAGTGGTTAGAATGCAGTACTGCCGGCTGCCTGCAATTTGACAATTCAATTCTCATTGGCTCAAGATTGATTTAGCCTTCCATCTAGGTCAGTAAAACAGGGACCAAGACTGTTGAGGGCAATATGCTGACTCTGTAAACCGCTTAGAGAGGGCTATAAAGCACTGTCAAGCGATATATAAGTCTACAGTAAGTCCTATTGCTATTGCTAAACAGCCTCCCTTCATTGTTGCCAACTAAAAGCAGCTAGGTCTATTTTCAACTAATTGCAATATTCTGGTTTATCCAAATTAGGAAAAAATGCAGCTTGCTTACATTTCATGATTTAAACAAAATAAAATTAAGATAATTTCTGGTCCTGGTTTGGTTTAAATAGTAACTAAAAAAACTAATTACAATGTTCAGCTCTAGTATTAATTTCCAGGAATATTAGAATTGTCACAGTTTAAGTTTCAGGTTCAAAGGAGTGTCTTAGTACACTTTGGCAAGGTTTTTGCAGCCATAATTTCAACAATACTAGAACTTGGACTTGTTGGCCCTTAATTTTGAGTGTTTCTAGCCAAATATTCAATTGAGATACGAGTAGGTACAGAACCTGCCTGCAGATTTACGAATCTGCATACAGGTGAAACTCGAAACGTGCAAAGTTCATTTATTTCAGTAATGCAGCTTAAAAGGTGAACCTAATATATGCAAAGCAAGATAGTTCAAGTGGTGATGTGCCATAATTGAGATGATTATGGCTTACAGCTCATGAAAACCCCAAATCCACAATTTCAGAAAATTAGAATATTGTGAAAAGGTTCAATATTTCAGCTAATTAAGCCATAACACCTGCAAAGGGTTCCTGAGCCTTTAAATGGTCTCTCAGTCTGGTTCAATAGGAATCACAATCATGGGAAAGACTGCTGACCTGACAGTTGTGCAGAAAACCACCATTGACACCCTCCATAAGGAGGGAAAGCCTCAAAAGGTAATTGCAAATGAAGTTGGATGTTCCCAAAGTGCTGTATCAAATAGAAAGCTATGTGGAAGGGAAAAGTGTGGAAGAAAAATGTGCACAAACAGCAGGGATGACCACAGCCTGGAGAGGATTGTCAGGAAAAGGCCATTCAAAAGTGTTGGGGACTTTCACAAGGAGTGGACCGAGGCTGGAGTCAGTGCATCAAGAGCCACCATACATAGATGGATCCTGGACATGGGCTTCAAATGTCGTATTCCTCCGCTCCTGAACAACAAACAACATCAGAAGCGTCTTACCTGGGCTAAAGAAAAACAGAACTGGTCTGTTGCTCAGTGGTCCAAAGTCCTCTTTTCTGATGAGAGCAACTTTTGCATCTCATTTGGAAACCAAGGACCCAGAGTCTGGAGGAAGAACGGAGAGGCACACACTGCAAGATGCTTGAAGTCTAGTGTGAAGTTTCCACAGTCTGTGTTGATTTGGGGAGCCATGTCATCTGCTGGTGTTGGTCCACTGTGCTTCATTAAGTCCAGGGTCAACGCAGCCGTCTACCAGGAGATTTTGGAGCACTTCATGCTTCCTTTCGCAGACAAGCTTTATGGGGATGCTGACTTCATTTTCCAGCAGGACTTGGCACCTGCCCACACTGCCAAAAGCACCAAAACCTGGTTCAATGACCGTGGGATTACTGTGCTTGATTGGCCAGCAAACTCGCCTGACCTGAACCCCATAGAGGATCTATGGGGCATTGCCAAGAGAAAGATGAGAGACACGAGACCAAACAATGCAGAAGAGCTGAAGGCCGCTATTGAAGCATCCTGGTCTTCCATAACACCTCAGTAGTGCCACAGGCTGAAAGCTTCCATGCCACGCCACACTGAGGCAGTAATTGCTGCAAAAGGGGCCCAAACCAAGTACTGAGTACATCTGCATGCTTATACTTTTCAGAGGTCTGATATTGTTCCATGTACAATCCTTGTTTTATTGATTGCATGGTAATATTCTAATTTTCTGAGATTGTGGATTTGGGGTTTTCATGAGCTGTAGGCCATAATCACAATTATTACAAATCACAGCTTGAACTATCTTGCTTTGCATGTAATGAGTCTATCTCATATATTAGTTTCACCTTTTAAGTTGCATTACTAAAATAAATGAACTTTTGCACAATATTCTAATTTTTTGAGTTTCACCTATATGCTGGGAGCAAAATAAGGCACAAAATTGATTAAGATATGTTTAGTATCTTGATAAATACATTTTAAGAATGACTTACAAGAACAAGCCATCACAGATATCAAACAAGATATAGCAATTCTATTTTTTTATTATTTTCAATTGAGTTCATTTGTATTTTGCAATGCCAGTCATAAAGCACAGAAAAATTTAATCTTTTGGGCCTTTTGGCCATATAATTGATTGGTTGAAGGCAATTTGGTAATTATGTAAGAAATTCCTAAGCTCTTTCAGTCTTTTTGAATTAGTAGGCACATTTTGCAGAATCCCCAATTTAGTTTTTAAGAATACTTTTGGGGTCTATGTGGAGCCCACAGGCATTGTTGAAAATGCAGACTATCATTGAGATTGATATTCTATAGCATGCTAGTTTCCCATTTTTTTATAATTTTTTTTTTTTAAAAATCAACAAATAGGGAGTTTGAGCAGGGGGCAGTTTTCCTAGGTAATGTTAGGGCCTCGGGTTCTTACTGCACTACATTGCTTATATGCCAGCAACAGCATGTATAATTGTTTTAGAAAAACAAAGCATCGAACACGTTTAAGCACATTTTCCCCGCCGTATTTTTGCCTTGATACTGCTTACCTTTTATATGAAGGGCTCCAGAATTGTACTTTGACTTAATTCCTTTGACTTTGGTAAGGAAGAATCTGAAAGGGTTCTGCCCATTCAACAGATCCCATTTGTCCTGCACTTCAGATGGGTCTGCAGACTTGTGACTTGATAAAATCTTACAAGCTGTTGGTAGCTCCATGGGTGTACCACTTTCTACTTTTCTGACTGTAGTTATTGCATCTCTATTTCCACTCGAGTTTTTAAGATCCTCATCTTCACTACTGGAAAGACACCAGCCAAAATCTTCCTGGGCAAATTTCTGATCTGAGGCCTCCTCCTGTGAAAAGTTTCCAGCTACGTATTTCAGAGGAGACATTTTTCTCTTGAGAGCAGCTTTCCTGGCCTCTGAGCATGAGCGGCCACTCTCTTTAATTTCCTGACCTCTCTGCCTCACAGAGGTAGAAGGCTTCTCAGAATCAGCTAACTCATCCATACTATCTTCACTACTGGACAATGTCCATTTCCCATGCTGACTTTCCTGAGACATGATATCCTATATCAAGGAGAAAAAAGGGGACAGATCTCCAGGAAAGTCCAAAGGAATGAAGAGACTACTTCTCTCACCTTCTCACAATAGAGGTTAATTACCGATCATGCTGCGCCTTCAGCTTTCACACATTCCAATTCAGGGGCATCCAAAGAGAATTCAATTATATTTGGTTCTCTATACACTCGCCGCCCTCCGTTCCTAAGTAAGTCTGTAGCAGGCAAACTCGTTTTCTATCCTTATTAAGGGCAAACCATAATCGACATAAAACAGATTAATAAAAAATATGCTGGGCAAGAGACTGTACGTGTGGATAATTCAATGTCACGAATTTAGTGATTTTAGATCGTTCCCCTCTTCTATATACTTAAATCCATCGCGAGCCACGTCGCACAGTTCGTAACAGAAAATGACCGTGGGGACTTGTTCATGTAAGAGAGAAGGGAGGGAAGCTCTGCGCGCTAGAAATCAAACCTGAACAAACTATATGTGAAAGAAAATGGAAGAAAAGAAACAGAAAAATAACTCCCCCCCAAAAAAACCCAGGAGGGAACTTCTTGCTCACTGGTGGCTTCTGCGAGTGAACTGCGACCAACCCGCGAAACTGCTTAAAAAGTGGGGGGAAAGCCGCACTCGGGAGACAAACTTCCTCTTCCGGGTAAAGCTTCCGCCCCCCTGGACTCTATGATTGACATCCCGCCGCTACCAATGATTGGGCCGTTTATCAATAAATAAGAGCCGATGCCTCCTACGGGTCTTTCTCACACCTTCGGCGGCTGACAAAGCCGCATTTTGAGGAAGTTGGGGGAAGAGAGTCGCTCTGTTGCTAAGGGAAACTTCATGCAAGTTGGCGGTGCTTCTGCTGTTGGCAATGTGCGCGGCTGCTAATGAAGCGGCAAAATCAAAAGATTGCCCAGCCGTGAAATACCGCAAGAAGCGATGGGTTGAAGTAGGTAGTTTCAATGGGGCTTTTTATTATCGATGTCCCTGTATTTTCTCGTCTCATCTAAAGATCCCCAACTGCTGAAGACCCCTAAAATCCTACCAATGCAACCTGCGAAGGATACATTCCAAGAAAACACTGGGGGAGCGGGAAACTTTCCCCAAATACGTGCCAAAATACAACTTCGTTTTGTGTGTCGGTTGCGTCCTTTCCTGGGAGGGAATTGCCTTGGTCGCCACTGGAGTGGGTCCTGCAATGCACCTTCCAATGGGGCTGCCTTACAAGAATATCCAGAAGCTTCAGCTGGTCCAGAATGCAGCAGGATAGTCAGTTATGGGGGCTGCTCAGCATGCCCTTAAATTGCCAGTATGTTTCCAAGTGCAATACGAACTGTTGGTTCTCCCCTGTAAAGCCTGAGGTGGAGCATGAGTAGGTAAATTGTGGGACTGCCTCTCCCCAGTTATTTCTGCCTGCTCCATCCAATCCAGTAAGAGAGGCATGCTTGAAAGATGTGACTAAAAGTATGTCCAACTGTGTCAAATTAACAGATTATAACAGAGTCAGAAGGGACCTTGGAGGTTTTCTAGTCTAACCCCCTGCTCAAGGAGCAAATCCTTAGCATTTCAGACAAGTGCTTGTTTTCCGATCTCTTCTTAAAAACCTCCAGTGATGGAGTGTCTACAACTTCTGAAGGCAAGCTGTTCCACCAATTAATTGTTCTGTCAGGAAATTTCTCCTTATTTTTAATTGCTTCTCTCCTTGATTAGTTTCCATCCACTGCTTATTGTTCTTCCTTCAGGTGCTTTGGAAAAAAGCACCCCTTCTTTGAGATGCCCCCCCTTAGTTATTGGAACACTGCTATCATGTCATCCCTAGTCCTTCTTTTCATTAAATTAGACATACCTAATTCTTGCAATTAGGAGGAATACATGGGAAAAAATAGGCAGAAGCCATGGGAAAAATAGTCCCTCAAATAAAAGAGCCTAAGACATAAAAGGCTTTTATATATGACAACTAACATGTTGAATTTCACCTGGAAGCCTGCTGATAGAGGTGGAGAAGTTTTATATGGACATATAATTTGCTTGTACTTCCTTTTTCTGCACTAGAATTTAAAATAACAGCTTATTGGTTGTTTCTTTTTATCATTATTCAAAGATTCTGAAGTAGCTTTGGTGTGTTTTCAGGACCTGATAATTTGTTCATGTATTTCATTAACAGTTTTCTTCACAAAGTGGTTCTAGTGATCATCAGTAGGCAATTTGTCATTTTTCTTTTCTCTTTGGGTTATTTTAAAGACATGTTGCTGCATGATTCTGTAACTAAAAGAGGCTGAGATCTTTATTTAATGAGAAATATAGTATTATTAGATTCATGTGTATTTTCTCTAATCTCTTTCATATACATTCAAAGAATATCAAAGTATTTCTGAACTGCATTAGTACTATTATCCAATTAAGGATTGTTTTGACATTTTCTTATTTTGTGACTATTTTAGCAGCTGCTGAAAAAAAATAGGAACATTTTTTGAGGAAAGATATTCAAACTGTGAGCATTATAAATTCTTTTTTATTGGTCTTAAATGGTTGGAATTGCCAAATTCACTGCATCATTGGCTTTATTAAAAATAGTCTCAAGTGTAGAAGACAAGAGAGTTAGAAAGGGAGTTCAAGAGTAGGAAGAGGCAGAAAAGAGGTAAACAGTTTGGCACTGGGCTGGCCAGTTATGTCATATGTACCTCTGTGTTGGGCCATTTGTTAAACATTCATAAGTAATTGTTTTACTGTGTCTAGATTATTGTATATCTGATAAAGGCATGATCTGTTTTTGACAAACCCATGTTGGCTTCTGATTATAACTTTGCTGTGGTTTTTTTTTTTGCACACCCACAGTCATTTGTTTCTCTGTTTGGATAAGGAAATATCTCTGAAACAATGACCTACAGAACAGGGGTTGTCTAATATAGTGGTCACCAACCAGTGGGCTGGAGACCACTGGTGGTCTGTGAGAAAATTTTGGTGGTCCGCAGAGAAATGGCACCCCCCCAAAGCACCCCCCAAAGCAATTAATCCAGGCTGCGTGGGAGCATAAGGCTGTGCCACCCAAATGACCCACGGGAACACAAGGCTTGCATTGCATTGCAAACAACACGAGGTAGTGAGGGAAGGGGGGAAAGGACGGAGGGGAAGAACTTGCCCTATTTGCCCTACGTGCCTGGCCGGGCTGCTTCTTTTCGCTTCTTTCTTCTGCTTTTGGCTGCATGCAAGGAAAGCAGCAAAAGTCTTTCTTTTTCTCCCCCAAACTCCAGCAGAAATGAGTCTTTGGGACCCTGCAAGGAATCTGCTCCAAGAGGCTCTGCTGGCGTGACAAGTCTCACAAAGACTCATTTCTGGTGGAGTTTGTGGGAGAGAAAGAAAGACTTCTGTTGCTTCTGCTGCTTTCCTTGCATGAAGCCAAAAGTCTCTCTCTTTCTTCCCCTGAGAACAGAGCTGGAGACGGTATCCTGCGATCCCAAATAAAGAATGATCGATCGGTAGGAAAAGGGTGGGGAATTTTCCTGCAGACTTTTTTGGGGATTTTCCCAGGGTCTCTGGTCTGTGGGATTTAAAATTATGAGTTTGGTGGTCCCTGAGGTCCACAAGGTTGGCGATCCCTGAACTAATATATACATAGCATTATACATTACAGACAATATAATTTCAAATTTTAAATTGGAGCTGTTTAAGTTTGCAAAACAGTCATAAAACTGTCTTGCAAACTAACCATTTCCTTTACAAATAAATTAATTTAAAATTATGGTGAAATAACTATGTTGCTTTCATACACAAACATAAAGATAGAATTAGGAACAGCTTCTGAAGCAGTTACTAAGGCTGTAAAAAGACTTTGTTGATTTAAAATTTTTAACTCCATGTTATTGTATGTTCTGAAGCACATTTTGAAGGATTTTCACAGCTCTAATATACATCAAGATAAGTGAGCTTTTAAATTTCTAATATCTATATTTTTTTTAGGCTTTTGAGGCATGTGATGAAAACAACAAAGGATACTTAAACCGAGAAGACTATAAAGTTGCTATAGTGATGCTATTTGGCTATAAGCCCTCAAAGGTACCATTTATTTCATAGATTGAGGATTGGCTTATTGTTTCAATATCCTGAATACAAGACATTAAATAATCTCTATTAATATGAAGTTTTCAAAGAACATTTTTTTCAGAATTATTAAAAAATATAAAACATTTGGCTCTTGCTATCTTTTTGAGATATTGCAGATAAGTTTCTCGTTTTCCCTTGTTCTAAGCTTCAGCCTCCAAAAGCTAGGGAGGTGTTCCCAGTAGCTCTTATTATAAACTTTTTAGTAGGGAGAGAACACAAACTGGATACAGCACCGCAAACAGTAAAGAGGCACTTCCCTGCTTCTCAAATGTGGTGGAAGCAATCTGGTTTACAGATCAAAAGGATTGTTTCTGTATCAAAGGTGCTTTTTTCAAAAGGCAATTTGACTCTTTTTTTCTTGAGAAAAAAGAAGAAAACTACTGATGAAGCTTCTTGGATGAGAAGTGAAACGTCTTCTTTTTCCTTAAGAAAAAAACAGCCCAGGTGCCTTTTGAAAAAGCACCTGTGAGACCTGGATGACTTAAAATCCCCATAGACAGACTGCTTCTATACTTTAAAATACCATTTAGCTTTACTGCAATATCATCTGTGGTAGATTCAGTTTTGTTTGGCTTTTATTCCACTGCTGTCACTATAAGTACACAGGATTTTTCCCTCTGTGTTAAATGAAAAGACAGTTATGCTGACAAATATATTACAGTGTTGAGTGCAAATATCAGTAATCATGAGACAAATTGTGATAAGAGAAAAATGTTCTTGCTGTGTGATTCGTATTCACTCCTGTATATAAATTTAAAAGACTAAATATCTGATGGTTTCAGCCAATGGGAAAATATCTTAGACTACTATTGTAAGCATTTGTCTTTTACTAGATTTAAAGTCCAATCTCAAGCTAGGTTATTTTCAATTACATTGACTAGACAACAGTGATTGAATTCTAATATTGGGATTCCCAACTGAATCCTAGTATTGTGTCATTCGTGAGCTGAGAACTAGTTTGGAGGAGTATTGAGATTGAAAGTACAATTCATGGGGGGGTGGGGGGGGTGGGGTGAAGAAAACAGAAATCACTCCCAAATTCAAAAAGTCAGTGAGAAGACCTGTGGTTTGGGACTAACTTAGGGTTGATCAAAATTCTGAGGAGATAATGCTAAAAGCTTATATTGTAATAGATCTTAGCAAATCAAACCTCAGTGTATTAGTATAAACTACAGCAATAATCAAATAAAATAGGAGTAATTGGAGTTTTCATTTTTATTGAAACTATTGTTTCTTCGATGTTAGAAGAGAATGACAACATAGATTTTAATGTTGATTTAATATTTATTCATTTAATATTTGTATTGTTTCACTTCAGCTCAAACATGGAACTTTTGCCGCTCTTGAGTTTATGTTGTTTTACTATACTGTTTGAACGCCCATTGTCACTTCTGAATTATTTATTTACCATATTTTTTGCACTATAAGATGCTCCAGCCCATAAGACGCATCAAGATTTTGGGGAGGAAAACAAGAAAAAAAAAATCTGCCTCTGCCTCCTAGCAATTTGCCTCCTTGCATCAAACAGCAAACAACCTGGTCAGCTACAGCACAGCCTGATATAGCACGAGCAGCTGATCGGCGGCTGGATCGGCTGTCTGGAATACCGCTGATCACCTGTTCCCGGCTGCAGGGATCGCCAGCACCTATCGCCACCTCCACATGCCCCATTTTTGGCCCATTCCAGGTGGCGGGAAACGAGCCAAAAATGGGATACATGGAGGCTGAAAATGGGGCATGTGGAGGCCGAAAACAGGAAACACGGAGGCGGTGATAGGCAGCATCAGTGATGGGCAGCGACAGTGGTGATGGGTGCCAATCAGCTGCCCATATTAAATCAGGATGTGCTAAAGATGACCAGGCTGCTTGCTGTTTGCTGAAAGGAGGCAAACTGCTGGGAGGCAGAGGCCGAAGGGTGGGGGCCGGTGGGTGGGGGCTGGTGGGTGGGCGGGGCTTTGGCAACATTAGCTCTATAAGACGCGCAGACATTTCTACCCACTTTTTTGCGGGGGGGAAGTGCATCTTATAGTGCAAAAAATACAGGTACTTAATTTGTATAATTGCCCATGCTGCCCATGTCAGGTCAGCATATATTGGACAATAGTAACTCAGCAAAACACACAAGAAAACAAAATCCACAACAGAAATGTATATAGGCATAAAGTGTCAGGAAATGTCATCCAACAGGTCATATCACTCCCAGACCCAATTCTTCAGGGAAAAAAACAGTCTTTAGTGTTTTTCTGAAAGATCAGCAGGGTTGGGGCCTCACAAATCCAAAGTTATTGTTTTAGAGGACAGGAGCAGCAACAGGGAAGACACATCGCATAGATCCTACCTAACTAACGGAACCTAGATGAAAAGTATATGCTATTGTATAGCTATGATGTATAGCAAATAGTTGATTGCCCTCAAAAATTATAAGCCATGTTCAATGACATTTAGTAATGTTGCTAATAATTCAGTATTGTATGAGGAATTTGAATTACAGATTATATCTGAATTAACTTAGTTTGGTTCTTACGTTATTTTTGTTTGACATAGTGATTCTCAACCTGTGGTGCGCAGACCCCTGGGGGGCTGTGATGTCATCATAGGAGGTCTGCGAAGGCTTGAAGAAATGTTATGATTTAAATCTTAAGTCTTGGTGATCTGTGGCTAAGAGATATTTAAAGGGGGTCTGTGATGAAGAAAAGGTTGAGAACTACTAGTTTAACATGCTAATTCCAACACCACTGATTTTTAAATCCACAGTTAAAACAGTTTGATTTAATATGTTGAATTGGCATTTATTTGGTCATGACTAGATTAGGTTCATTTCATTTCAGTGGGTGCATTGAGCCTGGAAAAGTTTTAAACTTCATTTTAGTTATATCAGATTACTTCATGAGAAAAACAATTTTAATTTTGATATTTGAAAAATTGATTCTCTTAGAGCAGGGGTGTCAAACTCGTGTCGTCACGTCATCATCATGTGACATATCGCAACTTTCCCCCCCTTAAACTGGGCGTGGGTGTGGCCAGGGTGTGACACATCCGGCCCATGGGCCACAAGTTTGACGGCCCTGACTTAGAATTTAATACAATGGCTTCTTAATCTACTCTTTAACATATGTTATTAGAGACATTGTTACCAGTATTACTGCCCAGTTAAGTACTTTCAAATTTTATTCATTTTGGTTTTATAAATTTATGTGTTTGACTTTTCAATTAAAATCTACAGATGTTAAGGCTTTTAAACTTTGATTGATCTTGCTCTTAATGTTGAGTTTTTACAGGATGATTGTGGGGAAAACAAGAAGTGGATCAAAAATTAAAGTGGAATAATTAGATAATTATGTATTTATCCTAATAATTCTGAGGAATTGGTTTATATGTGAGCATTTAAGGGATTTTTTGTTGATTATGCTATTTTTTCTATTTTAGGTAGAAGTGGATTCAGTTATGGCTGTGAAACAAAATCCATTTGGTATTATATAAACATGAAAATCTATTACTATGCACTGATGATAAGAGCTTAATCAAAAACTAGAGAGTTTAAAAGTTGATGTACTTATTTTGTTTTGAAACCCATTTTGGACATCAACTTGCAAATATTCATTTTGTTTATTTTTAGTTGTGATAATTTACATTAAAAATATGGAAGGTGGAGAAATTGCACATAGGTACCTTTGTGCAATTACAGCTTCAGACTATGAGCCAAACCTAATATTGTAAAGCAACAGGAATTCTTGTCTTTATGCTGTCTCTATATTTCCCAGATCTGTTCAAGATTATTTCCTAGTGTCCTGAGCATACTGGGAAGAAGGCCCTGCAATAGTGAAGGGTAAATCTGCTCCAAAAGTGGTTCTTTTCTTCAGATTTCAATAAATTATTAAATTGATTTACAAATATTTAAGTGAAGAAAATAAAGAAGTAAGAAATTTGGGTTAAAATCAAATAAACAAACAAGTAAATGTGTGTCGGAAAGAACATGCAAAGCTGGGGGAGGGGCAGAGTTAAACACATCATTAGTTTAGAGTCCTTGCATTGTCACAAGAGATCCAAGTCCAGTCTCCCCTTGAATTCTGTTGACCCTTACCTAATGCCAATTTACTGCTGACCGTTAGTTGATTAGATTCTTGTGTATAGGCTTGAATAAATCTTCTATGCTGCAACCTTAAAAATGGTCCTAATTATTTTTTGCTTAATGATAGTAATTAGCACAAAAAGCTCTTACTTATATATTTCTGCCCTATATTAAATTCATGAGATTAAAATATAGTTTAGCTAGCAAAATAATTTTTCTTTATCTAAGGTTCATTCTGAAATATCAGTCAGCTGCAATTCATTTTAGCATTAGTTTACTTCATAATAGAAAAATAGTTTACTTTAATATCCACAGTAATATTATAAATCCTGGAAATCAGAAGTATATTTGTAAATATGACCTTTCTATAAATTAATTGTGGGAATAACATTACTAACAGTTTAGTGAAACAATAATTATATGTGATGGTTCTAATTGGCTGAAATAAACTAATATGGAAATGAAACTAATGGTTTTGGTTCAGAATTTTAAGATGGATAGATGGATGGATAACAGTTCAGTCCATATTTCTTGTGTGCTGCAAAATATATTTATGACTTCCTACTTTTAAGCTGAATTTATTAAAAGTGTCCACTAACCCACATTTTATTCAATTAAAGCTAATTTTTACATTTTATTTTATTTTGATTAAATCTTCCTACTAACTTTCACCTTCAGATTATTATAGGATTTTTGGTCCCATTTTTCTTGTAACATACCGGGTGTGGGGGCACTTAAGTTTTCTAGAAGGGAAGTGAGAGCTTGTAGTAACAACTTTGAGTCAATATATTCTTATCATTAGAAAAAGGAATCAATTTTCCTGTTTATGGTTAATTGTAATAACTAATTTTGGTTTGCTCACAAACCTTGCTACAATGTATTAATGACTAATTATTAATTTTATAAAAATGTTTGTTTAAATTAAGAATATCCATTCTATACTTGCATATTTTATAATAAAGTTAGTTTGCATTGCTGTTATACATAGGTATCTGATAAATAGTATTCTTTAGCAAATATATGAAACACTTATTTTGGAAAAGATACACATAGTCAATATATTAGTATTTAGTTTATCTAAATTTATATACATATATATTTATATTTCTATACATTGTGATGCATTAATCCTGTGTACACAATGGGGAATAAGTTGAAATGAATGTTTAGTTGCCTGAACCACACAATGGGCAGCAACTAAATTTTATAAATAAATAAAAAATTCATGAAGATTACATAGACTGTTTGAATTTTATCTGTTGAAAGAATAATTATTTACTTCTGTGGATACATGCCTAACCATAACCCTATTTTTTAGGTTTATCACTTGAAGAATTTTTAAATCTTATGACTACAAAGAAGGTTGTACACTTTTACCATAGTGAAATAAGACGGTTATTCATGTCTTTTGACAGACAATGTAAGTTTTCCCACAATGTGGAATAACTTTATTTGAATATCTGATTGATAAAATGTTTTGCTATTATATTTTAATTATATCCTTTTTTCTGTACAGGTTAGGGCAGCATAAAAATCTTTTTCCTTCTGTCATCAATATCATTACAAGGCAATTATTGAAGGCAAATTGCATTTTGGGCTTATTTGGGTGGGATTTAAAGCACTTACAGGTAATCTGTTCAAAGTTAATGGCATGGATCCAGGGCAATATATGACAGGTCCTTGTAGTTGTGGCAGTCGCAACACCTCCTTGATCACCTGATTGTGATTTGGGCACTAAGTGTCTTGCAATTATGACATCACAGCATACCACAATCACAAGATCATCATTTGTAACCTTCACTGCCTTCTGACAAGTAAAGTCAATGGGCAAACTGGGTAGAGGTCGCAAATGGTGATCATATGACCACAGGATTTACCTAATGATCGCTACTGGGACTACCACAACTGCTGTTATGTTGGCATGGTCACATGACATTGCATTTTACAACCACATTGCTTAGCTGCAGAGTTTCTTGTCCCAATTACCACCATTAAGCAAGGACTACTTGTTCTATCTTGTGGACAGATTGGACATAATTCTCTCCAGTCTGATTTTTCAAGACTCTATATTTGCCTTTAGTTAATGAGCCAGATGCTTCAGAGTTTACCAAGGTTAGAAATAATATTATCCAATTAAAATGTAAAATCAGAAGGACTGTGAGAGCACTTTTTTTGATTAACAAATGTTATTAAAAAACCATAAGCTTACATTATTTTTTTCCAAAATATTATGAAGCTTTTCATTTCTTGTGGATCAATAATTGCAGTTTTCAGTCTTGGTTTATGAATGTACATCTAAGTATCTTTCAACCTGTATTCCCTTTTCTGTTTTATTTTCAACAAGGTAGAGGATTTTTATCATTTGAAGATTTCAAAAAAGCTTTCAGTATTGTTGCACCAAAGTTACCAGAAAGGATCATTGTTGAAGCATTCAGGTAGGATGAATTGAATTATTTGAGATGCTCTGAAAAATTGCATGGTCTGGTCTGGTCTATTGCAGGCATTGTATAGTACTTTCCCGCAAAATAATCAGATCTCTGTATTCTGTCCCTGCTCTCTTCCCAGCATGCACTTGCATATATTTTATCCTCCTCTCTTATTTTCTCTATTACCCTATTACAAATAGTTTCCAAAGAGATCAAGAAGATGTTGAGTGCAAGAAGTGCAGTCAAATAACTTTGGCAAAAGGTAATGGGGGGCTTTGGGAATGCTCTGGAAGTTGTCTGACAGGCTGTCACTGCAGTAACTTCAAAATCTATGCAACACTTTCAACAACATTTCAGATGCTTCCTCTCTCCTGATAGATAACTTTCTTGCAGATTTTATTCCATCCTGATTTAAAAACACAAATAAGTTACGGGTGGAGGTAGACATCTGTTAGGCATCCCATATTATATAGGATGTGATGAGGGAGGGATTCCTTGTTTTAATTCATTTTTCAGAATTCAAATGAATTGGGCAGTTCCCCAGACTCACACAAGGCAGAGTTGGCTACTTAGAAGCTAATGGTTTAATTATAAAATGATTCAGTGGCTTTTCCACAGCCTTACTATATGAACTTCTCTATTTCAGTTTTATGTGACCTGTAAACATGCTTTGTCAAAACACAGTGTTTCTTTAAACAATTTTCTGTAAACAATTGTTTAATTTCATTCAAGAACAGCAGGGTTGTAGATGATGTGTATAGGTAAACATAAGTTTTAATATGTACATTGATCTTAACAGTGCATGTGGAACAGCAAAATGTATTTAAATTGACAATATATCACTTGAACCATGTGGTGGTGCTAAATAGCTTTTTAAAGAGAATCAGTGGAAGAAATGTAAATTATTTCACAATGCGGTACTTATCTTAGATTTTTTTTAGATACTGCTTTTTAAAATTAAATTCTTATTTTTTTCATATTAACAATGACATTAACAACAACTTAGTATACAGGTAATGCTATAACTTGTGAGAAGTAAATCTTCGTTGCCATAGTTCATCAAATATATTTAATCATTATAACAATATCAATTCACTTCAGGTTTTCTTTAGTCTACCTCTTGATACAGGTTCTAAACACATATCAAAACTGTCACTGTAAAATGAAGCAAAAACCATAACACTGGAATGGTATACAAATTCCAAACTCTTTAACTTTCTTTAACTGATAGAAGTCCATAACATACTTTGTTTCAGTACCTGCTTGCTGGCCTCCAATAGTCATAATGATTTTGCAAACAAAATTTGTGCAGGATTCTAGTGATCTGTTCATGCATTATTTGTCCTGTCGGGAATAATTGAAATCATTGAGGCGGGTCTTACAAGTGTTGAAATTTTGCATTGGACCAACAAAATCCACAGGTTTCAGTTTATATCCCTGTTCAAATTTGTATCGTATAATCAATTTACTGTAAATAGTGTTAAGAACTCAAGTGTACCTCTGATCTGTGTCCATGGTTCTTGAGCTCTCTGAGTACATGGAATTCCCTGGTTGTGTATCTTTCCAAAACATCATGATGTACTTTTCTCACCTCTGGTCCATGGAATAAGGGTAATTGCTACCACAACCATCAATGTTCTTCCAGTGAGGAAACAGGCTGTAAGAAGTTGTATCTCTCCAAGTTATTTACAAGTAGTCCTTATTACTGACTGCTCATTCAGTGACCATTCAAAGGTACAGCGGCACTGAAAAAGGCTGGTCCTCAAGCTTGGGGCCCTTGCAGTGTCTCTGAGGTCATGTCATCATGATTTGGGTGTCTGATAACCGGCATGCGTTTACAATGCCCACAACATGTTGTGCTCACGTGATCACTATTTCTGACCTTCACAGTCAGCAAATGCAGTCAATAGGGAAGCTGGCAGGAAGTTACAAATTGTGGTCCTGTGACATTACACTTAACTGCAGTGATCTATTTTAACAACTGCACTTGGAACTGATGCCTTAATTTAAGCAACTCACTTGCTGTTTCACTTTACAACCATGTGTTTTAGTAACAGAATTGCCTGTCTCAATTGCTACTTCCTTCCCTTTGGCTAGCTTACAATAAATGCCAAGATACCTTTCCAGTCAGCATGTTTCTTCTCTTTGTGCTTGCCATAAGACATAAGTGGAGAGGATTCGTAGCAATATATAAATATTTGATTTCTCTTCTGCATTTTAGTAATCACAAGTATCTTGATTCCTGTAAAAGAAGCCAAGATTTTTCTTTTAATATTTGCAAAATAGAGCCAAACAAACGGTGCAAATGAGGGATGGAGTCACTAAGCTGCAGATAAATAAGTGGCTGGACTTGGCACATTATGTGTCCTTGTTCTCAGGCAGATATAATGGCACTGGCTTCTACCCCTCTTGCTCAATGGCAGGTATGCATATGCACCTTAAGTAGTGGTTCTCAACTTTTTCTTCATCGTGGATCTCCTTTAAATACCTTTTGTGGCCACGGACCATGGCCACGGACTACCAAGGCTTAACTCAAGATTTAAATCATCACATTTCTTCAAGTCTTTGCGGAGCCCCTGTAAATACATCACGGGCCCCCAGGGGCCTGCAGACCACAGGTTGAGAACCACTATTCTAGAGTGTTTGTTTTAACAGCGCAACAAAAATATATGCCTTGCAAACTAGGAAGAGCTCTTTCTCCTGTTCAGCAAAGATTTCTTCCACTGTTATCACATTAAATGAGCTGGTCTAAGCAATTCCATCCTAAGTATAGCAGCAAAGTATGCACACTAACCTAGAAAAATGAACCGTTGCGCTCAGTAGGAATTTGGGTGGAGTAAGCATTCATGGTTTTATGCTTGATGAGCCTAGCACAAATGTCCCATCTTCCCATGTTCAGCTATTTCATCCTTCAGTTCATCTCTGTCTTGTTTTTTTTCTTTTCTAATTCAGCTTCCTTTTCTCAACTCATTACAGTCTTTTCTGCACCTTCTTTTAATAAAAGATGGTGTGTGTCTATGTATATATAAATGTGTGTGTGTGTGTATACTGTGTGTATATATATATGTAAGGGGAAATAGTTTATATGTGAATATGCGCCTGAGCAATAAACAAAATTTACATATGATAGGCAATTAATTTAAATATTTTCTGTAAATATTTTACAGAAAATTTACATATTTAAATTAACATTAATATTTTCCTTTTTTCAGAAAGCTCTCTTGCATGTATGCTGGGTGATAGACAAATACCTGAGTATGAGTATGTTTCTTGTAGATACTTACAGCTGGAAGATGGTAATCCTAAATTGAAAAAATAGGAAAACTAAGCATTATATACAGTATAGTATATTTTCTTTTGAGAGCAGGCGTCAGAATTTCATTTTTTAATATGTGCCAGTGTGTTCACAGAAAAAAAGTGGCAATAAAGGTTATTTTATCTTAAACAAAGAAAAAACACACAATACATACACACATTCTATCTTAAAGTTCTTTTTATTTAACCAGTTTTAAAATTCAGGCTGTCTTTTGTGTAAACATTTGCAGAAGCAGATTTTTGGTATTACTACTCCTTTTTTTTAATCCATTGAAGTAAACTTATGTTTTGGCATTCATGACGAGTAACAAACTTGCACTGATGATGTTACCTAGTTTGGGTAATGAAATATCTGCAAGAAAACAAGAGAAAGCACCAAGGACCCCTCAATAATGAATTCCTTTCTTTAAAAACTATGTAGTTGGGTACTCTGTAAGAACCTAAGTTTCACACCATAACAATTCCTATGTATGCCGCATATGCCATGAAGCAAATGCAGATTGTTAGCTATTGCTGCTTTTGTGGGGATTTCTGATCCGGATATGCAAGATAACATTTGAACAGAAGCTATTTTGTTTCTCATTTTAAGTTAACATGCTTAGATGAATAGGATCACACACTTGGAGGCACATTGTCTTTATCTGTTCCCATTCAAAATGACCTGAAATTAGATAAAAAATATGAAAATAATCAGATTTTGTGTGGATACCTTCAGCGAAGATCTTGTGCTGTCTATGAAATTTTTATTTAGGCATATACTGCAGAGTGAATATGAAACATTAATCTTCCTATGGCTAGTTGCCATGGGAACGTGGTACACAGTGCAATGTAATTCCAGTTTTGGTGATTTCTGCAGCAGCTTTTCAATGATCTTTCTTAAGCAATATTCACATAGCTTAATCTTTGCAAAATAATCTCTAATGGCTTACATATTTCACCTATGTGCTGATTTATCGCATATTGTTTTAATTTAATACGTGTTTTAAAGTATTGCGTAATTCTTGTATTTTATACTTATTCTGTAGAATTGAAATGTATTTTAATAGGCCAAAGTTCATCTGTGCCCCCAAATAAATAAAATATTCTCATTCCTTACTATAAAAAGAATTATTTGTCGCTGCAGAATTTGACTCACACTAATTTTTAGAATTCCAGGTAAAAAGTCTTTCCCTATTCCTGTAAGGAAGTACAACAGACAAGAAGCTGGGAAATAGGGAAGCTTTTTCTGCTTTTTTTTCTAGAAAACAATATATGGGGGATTACATATATCCAGTCAATTTCAAACCGTGTATTGATTTTAGTTCGTTTTGTTATTGCAATGTGTGCAGTGCAAAATGCAGTGTGTGCAATTTATTCACATCATTAGAATGCTTCATACGTTTTAAAAATATTAAATATGATTTTAGTCATGTAACAATTATATTAATTGAATTTACTTTTAGATATTTTCAAAGCTTTATTTTGGTGTTCCTTTATGTTTTCAAAGTTTTTTTTGAGTCAAAAGTAGATCCACTGACTTCTCTATAAATAGTCAAAAGCAGATAAGCCCCTCCCACCATACCCCAAAACTTAGGTATTGAATCTTTTGTCCTTTGGTTTATGTGACTTTTGTTTATGTGACTGAATTCATTCAAAATATACAGGTAATCCCTGAACATGTTTTATCAAACTCAAGTTTCAACCTTGCCTCTCCA